TGCCCCATCATTGGTGTCAGTGGGGGGAATAGTGCCCCATCATTGGTGTCAGTGGGGGGAATAGTGCCCCATCATTGGTGTCAGTGGGGGGAATAGTGCCCCATCATTGGTGTCAGTGGGGGGAATAGTGCCCCATCATGGTGTCAGTGGGAGGAATAGTGCCCCATCATGGTGTCAGTGGGAGGAATAGTGCCCCATCACTGGTGTCAGTGGGAGGAATAGTGCCCCATCACTGGTGTCAGTGGGAGGAATAGTGCCCCATCACTGGTGTCAGTGGGAGGAATAGTGCCCCATCACTGTGTCAGTGGGAGGAATAGTGCCCCATCACTGGTGTCAGTGGGAGGAATAGTGCCCCATCACTGGTGTCAGTGGGAGGAATAGTGCCCCATCACTGGTGTCAGTGGGAGGAATAGTGCCCCATCACTGGTGTCAGTGGGAGGAATAGTGCCCCATCACTGGTGTCAGTGGGAGGAATAGTGCCCCATCACTGGTGTCAGTGGGAGGAATAGTGCCCCATCACTGGTGTCAGTGGGGGGAATAGTGCCCCATCATGGTGTCAGTGGGAGGAATAGTGCCCCATCATTGGTGTCAGTGGGGGGAATACGGCCCCAATAGTGGGAGGAATAGTGCCCCATCATTGGTGTCAGGGGGAGGAATAGTGCCCCATCATTGGTATCAGTGGGAGGAATAGTGCCCCCATCATTGGTGTCAGTGGGAGGAATAGTGCCCCATCGTTAGCATCAGGGGGAGCAATAGTGCCCCAACATTGGTGTCAGTGGGAGGAATAGTGCCCCATCGTTGGTATCAGAGGGAGGAATAGTGCCCCATCGTTGGTGTCAGTGGGAGGAATAGTGCCCCATCGTTGGTGTCAGTGGGAGGAATAGTGCCCCATCGTTGGTGTCAGTGGGGGGAGGAATAGTGCCCCATCGTTGGTGTCAGTGGGGGGAGGAATAGTGCCCCATCGTTGGTGTCAGTGGGGGGAGGAATAGTGCCCCATCGTTGGTGTCAGTGGGGGGAGGAATAGTGCCCCATCGTTGGTGTCAGTGGGGGGAGGAATAGTGCCCCATCGTTGGTGTCAGTGGGGGGAGGAATAGTGCCCCATCGTTGGTGTCAGTGGGGGGGGAGGAATAGTGCCCCATCGTTGGTGTCAGTGGGGGAGGAATAGTGCCCCATCATTGGTGTCAGTGGGAGGAATAGTGCCCCATCATTGGTGTCAGTGGGCGGAATAGTGCCCCATCATTGGTGTCAGTGGGAGGAATAGTGCCCCATCACTGGTGTCAGTGGGAGGAATAGTGTCCCATCACTGGTGTCAGTGGGAGGAAAAGTGCCCCATCATTGGTGTCAGTGGGAGGAATAGTGCCCCATCACTGGTGTCAGTGGGAGGAATAGTGCCCCATCATTGGTGGTGTCAGTGGGGGGAATACGGCCCCATTATTGGTGTCAGTGGGAGGAATAGTGCCCCATCATTGGTGTCAGTGGGAGGAATAGTGCCCCATCGTTGGTGTCAGTGGGAGGAATAGTGCCCCATCGTTGGTGTCAGTGGGAGGAATAGTGCCCCATCGTTGGTGTCAGTGGGGGGAGGAATAGTGCCCCATCATTGGTAATAGTGACACCAATGATTGGGCACTATTCCTCCCACTGACACCAATGATACTTACCTTGCTGACCCCTGCTCCAGCCTGGGCTCGCTCGCTCCCTCCCTCTCCCAAGGTACAAACACTTACCGGTCAGATGGCTTCCTTCTCCGGCCGCTTTCCTCCTCTTCACTCTCTCGTGCTTCGCGGTGCCGCTCGGCTCCTCCTTTCCAAGCTCCACCTCCTCGCCGGTGATTGGCCGCCTGTGTGCCTCTCCTGAGCTACAGTTCCGGCGGCCAATCACCGACGAGGAAGGATTGATCCCGGGGGTGTGTCCAGATGACAGGGACGGCATGTCATCCCGCCCACACCTGCAGACGGATCAAGGAGCGGTGTCTCGGTTCCTAAGGCCATCGGAAATATGTGTTTTCCGATGGTCTTAGGCGACCCCTGGGAAAGTGTCGTTCGACCCCCAAAGGGGTCGCGACCCCCAGGTTGGTCGCGACCCCCCTCTTGAGAACCTCCTGCTCTAGATGCACCTATCCCCTCCATCCTCTAGATGCACCTATCCCCTCCATCCTCTATATAGACCTATTCCATTCATTCTGTATATTCAAACTTACCCATCATTCATTCTAGCATCTGTTACTTTGCTGCTTTCAACTAATAAAGAACTAATACATCTTTGTATGAAACATTCCATGTGTTTGTCTGCAGGCACTGTATATAGATATGTATACAAAGGAGATCAGGTCACACATATCTATTCAGCTGCCTTCACTGGGTTTTGTGATTTAGTATTTCTGGGTCTTTGTGTTCTATCTGTTTATTGTTATACAGAACTAAACATTTTCATCAAAGCGTTCAGTTATCTGTCAGTAAAGCAGAATCTGGTTACAATGTACGATGTGTACTTTGCACACTATTGTTGCCTGTTCCAGGTATTGAAGAGTCAGCCTCCGATTCTCCATTTGAATCCCATGCTTAGTGACCTCAGTCAGCTCTGCAGTCATGCGACTTTGTAGTTTGTGAAGAATTTGCTGATAAAGTATAATGGGCAATAATAGCTTGGAGTATTCAGTGTTCTGTATATTTTATAAGACGCTGAGCACTCTGGACGCCCTGGCAGTCAGTAAATGCATGTGTCTTTGTGTGATGCCAGATAAATGCTTTTTCACATCATTATTATTTAATACAATATTATTACATGGACCTATACATAAATGTTAACGCTTAACTCCATACTTACCTTTTGTTTTTCATATTTGTACAGTCTCCTGTTAAAGAAATGTTTATGCTGTTCTCACTGCACACTGTGAGCTCTTCACTGTGTGCATTAAGTACCAGTTCACACTGATGCAGTGCGGGTTCCCAGCAAACTCTGTGCATTTCCCACACTGCATCAGAATCATACTCCGTTCATTGAACCGCTGGGGGTGTGAAAGTGGAGTTCCACCCGATTTTTAAAGTTTGGCCCCATGTTTGCTTCCTGCTGTCCCATCAATGTTTGGCACATTTTTTTTTTCTCCTAAAATTTTCATACCCTTTAGGCTACTTGAAGCACTGCACTTCCGATGTACCTCACCGCAGCGAATATGTCACATCCTCCTGCCTGTTGGTTCCTGGGATGTATGTGTCTTCAATCCCAGAAGTCAATGGGCATCCCCCACTCTGCAATGAGTGCGCCGTGCTTTCCTCTTACTGTGCAGGCACAAGATCAGGAGGTGCATGCTGGGTAGCCAGCTGCACCGTATCCCAGAAGAACGTGCGCCTGGGCTTCAGATGCCCACAGTGAAGATGGAAGAACACAGGATCATGAGGGGCCCGTGAGTATCTTTAAAAAACAAGGAAGACAAACAATTACATCTGCAGCGTGTGCCAATTTTTCATGGCATAAGCTGCGGCTGTCACAGAGGAACTTTAGGGCTCGTTCACACATTGACTGTTTTTCCAACTCTTGCCAAACGCCCCTATAGCGTTTGACAAGCGTTGGTCTGGCGTTTGCAGAGCGTTTTTAACTCTTTGCAAACACCGCATGCGTGCTTTAGCGGTGGTTGCTAGGTGTTTGCCAAGCGTTAAAAACGCCCAACAAACACCTATAATGAAGTTTGAATGGTGTTACCGCTCCGCAAACGCCGGCCGTGCGTTTGCGGAGCGGCACCATAGACTTGAATAGGAGGCATCAGCTCCTCCTGACTCGACCAGAGGCGTCTGTTTTGCCGCGACGCTAACACTTGAACCGTTTGAACAGCAATGTGCAGAATTTTCCCAGGCATTTGGGAAACGGTAAAAACGCCTGTCTGATGCTTGCTAACAAGGCTAGTGTGAGCGTAGCCTTAAAAAAAAAAAAAAAAAAAAAGGAAAAAATGTCTGGAACGCCGCTTTAAGTTAACGACACCCAAAAAGTTTGCAGAATGCAGTGCGATTAGGTGAATCAAATCACATGGGTGTGAACACTCATATGATCCGATTCCAGTGTGAAAAAGAAAAATTGCATGCACCTTTCCTGCGGGTGTGGTGCAGTTTGAGCAATACAAAATGAATGGCTTAAATCGCACTGCAAAGATTCACATCTGATTTGAACAGGAGTGCAGTTCCTGTCCGAACCACATGCAGTTTCCCACACTGCAATAGTGTGGACCAGCACTAAAAGCTGTAGCAGGTTAGAAAAAGCCTGCTTCATTTCTTGCCTGGAGGACGTCCAGCATCATTTAGGCCCTCCCTCATCAGCCTTGCTGTCCTTGTCCTGCTTCTTTTAGTCATCGGATTCCAGTCTTGGTCATATAGGTTCAGCATCACACGTGGGCATGATCTACGGCTGTCTGCATCAGTCTGTCTAGGATTACCACTTCTTCAGACTAACATCCATCTATATATTTGTTTTTTTTCACATCTCCTTCCTACAGTCAACCCACTGCTAGTATCAGGCCTTAGGGCCCTTGAAAGAAGTACTGTGATGTTGTCAGGAAGCTATGTGCAGCACCCTGCTGGCTCCTCCCACCAACCATGATCTGCCTTTATTGCACAGAGAAACGTAGAGTCCCATTGATGACATTAGGTGCTGGGACTGGGCAAGGCCTGCGATCTACAAGTGTTTTCTGTCTGGGACATCAGGAATTCTGCTACTTGGAAAAGTTAATTGTTAGGATTCATATAGCCTTTAATTCTGCTTTCTGATGCTTCCCCCAGTATTGTACAATGTATCTCCGATTCTTGCACTGCCTTATTGAATTACCTTGTTTCAGCAGCCGTGATGGTGTGGCCAGCTTGCCTTATACTTAACGTCATCTTTTCTTACCTTTTACAGAATTTATTGTTCAATTTCGACTCCTATTTGGGGTAAAGACGAGGTGATTTCATGTTGAGCGGAGAGAGACGTTTGGAACATATTTACTCGAAAAGGGAAGAGACACGGACAGGCTGACCATGTCGGACTCTAATAAAGAACTGGTGGATCTGGTGTGGGGGGAGAAGAATGGTAAAGGCTTGGTGGACTCTATATTCAGCCGCTGGACACAAGGTAAGCATGGCTGTCAGACAGCTCTTGGAGTGTTCAGGACCACTGCCCTTTGGTCCACAACCAGGCTTGGAGAAATTCACATAGAAAGCTCTTGAAGAAAAATGATGTATGAGGGGTGTTCAAGTCAAACCAGAACTTTTGAGTTTATATAATAAAAGAACACATTTTAAGGAGTGGAAACTGTATTTTTTTTTTCTTAACATACTCCCCTGCTACATTTATACACTTACCCCAGCATTTAATTCATGCTTGGAAAGCTTTGGCATAAAAAGATTTGTCAGTACCATCCCAAGACAGCCGGCTTCACTTCGTCATCATTGTGTTCACCGTTCCCACAGAAAGATTCCTCTCTTGTACAGTTTCATGACAGGTTCTGCATTGATTATCCAGGATCAGGTGTTCCACATTCTGAATGTTCACAGGAATGACTGCTGCGGACTGGGAACCACCATGGCCGGGATCATCACTGACGGATGTACGGCCATATTGGAAACGTTTTACACCATCCATATGTCTTGCTGAGCGTCTCATCACCGTACTGTGCTTGAAGTCTTCTGTAGATATCCGCAGGTTTTACGCCTTCGCTCACAAGAAACTTCATCACCACACGCTGTTCCATGCACGCACCAACACTGCTGTCTGCCATCTTGATTAGCGGTCTCTGGACTGGCCCACAAAATGTGCACCACCTATCTGTAATAGGACACACTGACCACTTACTACTGCGTGTAGTACCGCCGCTCTAGCATCCCTTTTTGTTCTTAAAAGTCCTGGTTTGACCCTCGTGTATTACTAACTATGAATGTGCATCATTAGAGCTTTGTAGCATTTTAGGAGATTGAAAAAATTCTTGATCCATTGCTGACCATTTTTAATAATACTAATTGCCTGGCTTCAGTAAATTTTGAGTCATGTACACAGGACAAGCAGGCTGATAGGAAGTCATTGAGGTAAAAATTCCTGATGAACCCACTTGTTCCCATCAGTGCTGCGCACGCTAAACCACTGCGGTTTAATATGCGGCAGCTGTCCAGGACAGTGTAAATGAGCCCTTAAGCCTGGTTTCACATATATGCGGTGCCACACTGCATTCCTGTGCAAATCACATGCGAGTTGTGTGTGGTGCGATTGGAGCCATACATTTTGTATGGCTCTAATCGCACCACACCCGCACCAAAAAGGTGCAGGACCCTTTTTTTGGTCTCCACTAGAATCGGATTGCATGGGTATTCACACCTATGTGATCTGATTCTGGACATCGCTCCGCGTTTTTCGGACTGCTTTTGGGGTGTTGTTTACATACATATCCGCAGCGGTTCGAATGAACGGGGTGCGAATCTGGTGCGGAATTTGCACAGAAAATGCTGTGAATTCCACACCGCATCAGTGTGAACCAGGGCTAAAGTTTGTGGTTTAAAAAAAAAAAAAAAAGCCACATCATGAGTAAAAAAATTCTTCCACCTGCCAGCATACTGTAAAAAAGACCAATGCTCTGTGTGGAAGCAGTGGTCTCTGTACAGAGGTCTAACACACCATCTATTGCCCCTACAGGACCAGAGCTCTCCAATCAGCAGAATGCATGAGCTTTGCTGATTGCAGTTATAGGTCTGATGTAATATAGCGTGTCGGCCTGTGCAGAGGGACCATTGCTTCCACACAGAGAGCAGGGTTCCTTCTCTGCTGCATGATGGCAGTGGATGGACTTTTCTACCCAGGTTGTGACTGCTTTAGAAAGAAAAACCTCTTCTGGATTGCATTTTTGAGAGAGGTTTTCCAGCGGAAAAAAAATGCTAAACACTCCTAAATGCCTGAACAAAAACTCTCTATGCGCTTTCTTTCTGCCAAAAGAATTGGCTTTTTTTTTAAGCCCAGTGTGCATGGACCCTAAGACTATGCACACATTTTGTTTTGGTGCACCTTGGAAGTGTCTTGCTGTGCAGAGAACAAAGTAGAGCTTACACTGTGGGAAGGTTGTTGCTGGACAACTGATCTTCCTCTTGGATCATTTGTCTCTCTTGTAAAAGCAATCCGAGCAGCTAAGTAGCTGCTGAATAGCTTTTACAAGAAACACCCCCCCCCCCCCCCCCGCCTTCCAATACAGATTTACTCACCTCACTCCCGGAGGTGGGTAGGTGATAAAACCGCACAACGTTGAAAACATTCAAAGTTCCATAAAGCCCCTTTCTTTTTTAAAATCCCCAGACATTACTACAAGCACCTCTGCTTAATAAAAAAAACATCAACCCTTCATAGTTTCCATCCTGGGAAAAAAATGCTGTTTTATAACAGGACAAGTAGATTACCATGAGGGATAAGTAGACTGGGACCCTGACTTAGTCCCTGGACTACTAGTAGTGTTTTTTTTTTTTTTTTTTTTTTTTTTTTTATACTCCACACCCCTGCTAAGTCTTAGCATCTGATAGTTAAGATACAAAATGCATACATTTCTGGAAGTTTCTCCTTTATCTTCCATAGAGATAAAAGTTTAGAAATAGGCTTCATTGTGTATGCATGTGTGTATAATATATACAGTGTGTGTATGTATGTGTGTGTAATAAATATATATATATATATATATATATATATATATATATATATATATATACAATTTCCAGCCTGTAATGAAGACAGACAGTGTTTGAGTAAATACAGCTGGATAACTTATAACATCCAAATGCAAGATATAACACCAACATGTCAGGAAAAATGCAAAAAACAGAATCACTGAGTTGGAAAAAGGATCATCCCTTGTGTCAGTATTTTGTTGACTCACCTTTTGCTCTAATTCCAGCCTTTAGTCTGTTAGGATATGTCTCTACTAACTTTGCACATCTAGACTTTGCATTATTTGCCCGCTCTTCTTTGCAGAACTGCTCAAGTTCATTTAAATTTGATGGTGACATTTTGTGGACTGAAGTCTTCAAGTCATTCCACAGATTTTCAATGGGGTTTAAGTCTGGGCTCTGACTAGGCCATGGAAGAACATTCACCTTTTTCTCCTTCAAAAACTGTGTGCTCATTTTTGCTGTGTGCTTTGGGTCATGTTGGAAGTTAAATTTTCTTCTCATAGACCACTTTCTGACAGAGGGCAGCAGATTTTCATCCAGAATTTGACAGTATTTGGCCCATCCATTTTTCCTTCTATTCTGACAAGTGCTCAAGTCCTTGCTGCAAAGACCGCCCCCCCCCCCCCCCCCCCATAACAAGATATTACCACCTCCATGCTTTACTGTAGAAATGGTGTTATTTGGATGATGAGCTGTATTGGATTTCTGATATATTGCTTAGTGTTGAGGCCAAATGATTACATTTTAGTCTCATCTGACCATAACACCTTTTTCCATGTGGCCTCAAAATCTTCAAGGTGCTTTTCAGTTGTGACTTGAGTGGCTCTTCTTTTGTAACCCTTCTATACAAGAATTTTTAATATTATTGTCCTTCAGAGTTGCTGTAGGTCTCTTGGTAGCCTCTCTGACCAGTTTCCTCCAGTTTGGAGCGACGTCCTGATCCAGGGAGGGTCTGTGTTGTATCAAATACCACCCACTTCTTAATAGACTTTTTTTGTATCCATCCCCTGACTTGTGCCTGTCCACAACTTTATCCTGGAGATCTTTTGACAGGGTTGTCCTGCCACCCATAGTCGATTGTTTGCTCCAGGAAAGCTCTTTTCATGCTTGGTTAATCAAAATGATCACAGATGAAAGTCAAATGGATTTGTCTGCCATTGAGAAGGTGCTTAGCTACACCTGATTTGAGTTTACAAGTTATTTTTAGGAGGGGAGAGGGGTGATCCTTCTTCCAACTCAGTTATTCTGTTTTTTGATTTTTTTTTTTTTCTGAAACATGTTGATGTTACATCTTTCACTTGGATGTTATACGTTGCATTGAGTTACAGCTGGATAAAACAAAAAACTGTGTCTGTCTTAATTTCAGCCTGCAAAGGAACAAAATGTGAATATTTCAGAGGAGGGGGCTTCTTTTCTATAGCCACCGGTGTGTATGTATGTGTGTGTGTGTGTATGTATATGTATGTGTATGTATGTATATATGTGTATATGTATGTGTATATATATACACACACACCTCCTTGCAGTGGGGGATGTCTGACCTCTGATACAGTTTATACATGAAGTATAATTGATTTATGATTTCCTGTAGGGTATCATGTCTTCAGGTACACGAAGACATGTTCCTTGTGACATGATACCCTATTCCATTGCATGAAGCCGCTTGTTTGACAGTTAAACCACACGCAATCCTGGCGTTTTCATGCCTACAGGAGGCACAGGTTCAGTATCAAGCCCTTCTGCCTGCAGTCTGTCAAACTCAAGCTGAAATACACTGCTGTAACAAGTTGTGCTCGTGTTTAGGGCCCTATGCATTCAGGGTCGCATACCTGGAACGTAGAATACCTGTGCCATCGGAATTCACAAAATTACCAGGATGGGACGCACAGGGACTAGATACCCAGTGTGCATGGGGCCTTATTTTGTTAGATTAAAACATGTTCTTCTCTTGTTTAATTCTGCAATATAAAAAAATCTTGCCAGTCTGCTGAGACTTTTTTATTTTCCGGACAGGGTTTGTGTTCAGTGACTCGGAACCTACAGCTCTGGAACAGTTTGAAGGAGGCCCGTGTGCTGTGATTGCACCTGTACAGGTAGAACCCAACTGCTTGAAGATTAAGTAGATGCAATGTTTCCTCCATCATACAAAACCGGGAGCCAAAACTGTTTTCAGTCCTTCTGTTAAAGGAAACCTTTGCAGAGAAAATACAGGGATTCCATTGCATGACACTGCCTTTTAAAATGCTGGTTACCTGGTTCTTATTCAAAGGCTTTCTATATTTCTTCCGTCACAGACCTGGAACATGTATGCAGAGTCTTGGCTTTCCTCTGCTATCTTTGAAATGTTTTGGGAATGGCATTTAGATGGTACGTAGGTCATAGTCGGGTTTAGTTTGGCAATGATAGCCTCCTTTATTTCACTCAGTATAGGTGGAAGTTGAAATTTTATAGAATTTTTTTTTTTTTTTTTTAAACCACAGCACCAGGGACAATACTTATCATGATTGAAGCGTGTCCCTTGTGCTGGTGCTGCTGTGTTTGGTTGAAACACGAAGTCCTCTGCCTCTGAATACTTCTGAAGGTTTGGTGTTCTGGTGCTCTAAGGGTGTAATATGGTAATTTGCCCCGTTTACCATCACTTACTGACTATGCCCCCGTCTCCATTCATAGAATATGTCCTATCAGTTCTTACAATGAAAAAGCATTCCATAATTGGAGGTTGTGGACCTTTCATTCATACGCCCGTCCTCCATAGAGTGCCTTTCATTGTGGACATTGATAGTATGGCACCTATGAATGGAGCGTGGGGGTGGAAAGGGCGGTACCTGTTACAGGTGCTTCTGCTCATATTAACGTCCGCAGCACTGGAAGACCACCGCTTGTGGGGGTATCTGGAGTCGGAGGATTTCTGATTTTAACCAAAGCAGCTATCCGCACACGGGACACAGTTCATTCGTGATGAGTTCTGTCCCTTGTGTTGATTTAAAAAAAAAAAATTACAAGCTTCAGTGTTGTTCAGTTTTCAATCCTGCTTCTTTTTTTTTCTATCATTTTAATTTCAGTTGCAGCTGCAGTTAATATAACTACACAAGTAACATAGTAAAACAGTATAACAATGTAAGGGTTCATTAATACGGGTGGCTGAGGAATGGTAGAAGCAGGGGATTGAGCCGCTCTTTTACTGGCCACCTGCACTAAGGCATGCAGTACAGATGCTGCAGCAAAAATGAAACAGCCTGCTTACGGCAGGCAATACTGCCACTGGATTCAAACAATGACAGTGAAAAGGGCCTCGCCACAAGATTTGCAGGCACTTGCGGCATTGTGGATCAGCATTTTGAGAGCTAAAACTGGTGGTGAAGAGGCAAATCGTTTTCTCACCTCCTGTCAAATGCCCTAATTTCTTAGCCTTTTTTGTTAAGATCAAATGTAGTATCTGTTCTTATCAGTTTTCAGGAGGAAGAAAGCTGTTGTCCTTGCATGGGGGAAGTGTGTGTGGGGAGGGGACTGGTCAGTATTTTTTCTGACTTTTCCTCCTGTGTTGAATCTGGCCTGGTTTTATCAGGTTTGTGCCTGGTTGAAGGCAGGGCTCTCCCTAATTACTAATGCATTTTGGATTTCAATGGGGTTGCATTTGTCTGGCCTGGGGCTGGGAGGTGCAAGTAGCTCCCGGTGACGTGGTCCCTTGGGATGATGTCCCAGAGGTGCCTGGAAAAACACTCCTGGGTTCTGTGGCCTTTGGGATTTTTGACTCCCCCCCCAACCTGAAGGGGTCTTTGTTCGGGAGATCTCCTCACCATACTTTTGGTGGACTAGCTTCGACTGGTCTTTAAAGAGTGGGGTCCACTGGGCTTCAGCTTAGCTATATCATTGGCATACCCACGCTCCTGTCAGGAGCCTTGCACCAGGGAAGGGGGGGGGTGTCCGGGTTAGAGGGCCTTCCTCTTCCGAGGTTTGTCCATTTCAATACCCTTTGTGCATTTTTTGGTGTGCTGAGATTTCACAGCTGACTTTTTTGTTCGACAAAGCACTGCACCACAGAGCTCCGTAAAAAGATAAACCTGTCAAATAACCATGAAAAGCAATCTGAATTGCTTTCAGAGGAACGGCTATATAATTTAATGTGTAAATTTAGCTCTAAGGGGAACCCAGTGGGTCCTTCAAAAGAATGAGTCTTTGGGGTTCAAAGGCTGAGTCAACAGGGCAGTGACCTTAGGGGTTTTCACAGGTGTGTGAGGGTTATGGGTTAGCTGAAAGGGAGTAGCTGGGGGAAATAAAAGCAAGAGGCGAGGAAAGATTATCAATCCTTTGTTCTCCTGTTACTTAACTGGTCATTGCAGAAAACTAAATTGATTGCTAAATGATAAGGGATCCCTCCTTGTTTCCTCTGCCTCCCATTGTTGAAGCCAAAAACATAGAAATGGTTTGAATAACACCTCTTTTATTGTAGTGATGTGCCTCAGATGTCTTGCATGTTGTCTTTTCTAATTATGCCTCTGCTTTTCAGGCTTTTTTATTAAAGAATCAACTATTTGCTTCTGAGAAGCCTAACTGGAGAAACTGCCAAGGTAAGTCATCTTCGCATTTATTTTTTTGATTGTAGTTCTGAAACCTTTTTTGATCTTTAATTGTGAGGAGCTGTGTTTTGCATCTGGACAGTCCCCTGCCGCTCCCCATGCTTTACTGTTGGCCAGAGAAGCAGACAATCTAATTTGCTGACCAGCTGGAACCTATAGTGGGGGGAGCGGGTTTTTTTTACACTGACTGACACTTTGTGGGAACCAATGACACTAATACAGTGATCAGTGCTAAAAGTATACACTGATCACTGTACTAATGAAACTGGTTGGGAAGGGGTTCGCATCTAGGGTAATCAAAGGGTTAACTGTGTACCTAGCTATGTGCTTGGTGTACACTAGGTGGTACTGGTACAAGGGGAAGTGATGATTGTGTTCCCAGCTATGCAGAGACACACGATTGATCACTCCTCCCTGTCAGAACATAGCTCTGCCTATGTAAACATAGGCAGAGCTCTGTTGTTCCTCCCTGCCCAACGATCGGCAGATATCTGCGAACATCTGTTTTCTGGGATTTGCAGGTAGGCTTCTGCTGTGACAGTTGACAGCAGAAGCGATCTGCTGGCAGCATGTGTGCGCCCTTTGAGGTGGAAGAGCATGATCATGTGTATATATGTATATATATGTATATATATATATATATATATATATATATATGTAATTTTTGTAATTTTGCACAAGAGGGCCGCCCTGTAGCAGTAAAACTGCTATAGGGTGGTCCATAAGTGGCTAGGGCACAACAGTTTGGTCTCTACATTGTTTTTTGGGAATTCTGGGGTGCTATGAAAATAATCCTAAGATGTGAGCAGACACCTGCTCTGTGTACCTGGGGCACTCTACGTTTTCTTTAAATGTAGCCAACTCATGTAAGCTGCTGTTACAGTAGAATCCCAACCTAAACTTAACTATGCTTAGAAATGTCCTCTTCCATCTCTTGACACCTATGCTGACTAGCCTGTGTTAGAAAGATGTATACTTACCAATTTTCAGGTGCTTCAGTCCAATCACATAAAAAATGAATAATTATCAATCTTTGACCAACCTTATCTATGAATGAGCTTGCACATGGTGGCTTCTTCTGCTTCCTCCACCCAAATGAAGTGGCATGCGAATGACGTAACAGTCAGTTTGTGCTGTGGAGGGGAATAAAATGGAACTAAGCCCTCCTATTCTTTACAGCCAAGGAAGCTGCCATCTTAATATCTCTTTGATCTACATTTGCCATAGTGATGTGATCAGTTATGACACCGGCTTTTTGATGGCTTTACAGTTCTGTTGAGAACACAAGCAACTGTGATAGTTCTCATTCATGGCACGCCTTGAATGTAATTGTTTTGGGAAACCATTAAATCACTGGGTTTATTTCTGCTTTAAAGCAAGCCAGTTGCTTTTCTTTGCATGGGTAAGCCCTTTGCCAATAACAGTGCACCACTGCTTAGTTTCTGGAATGGATCCCGTTGTTGTGTTTGTTTGTTTTTTTTTGTAAATGGTGATGGCTACATTAGTGATTTTAATCTTCTTCCTACCCACCTTCTCTTATGTCCATGTGTAGAAGATGAGCAGAAAGGCATCTTATGTCAGACGCTGTGTGACATTCTGGAAATGGCCAGCACAATCAATTCCAACTCCTACTGCCTGGCCTCATGGCAGAAAGGAAAAGTCGCCCCGGAGCCTGAGAGGGAGCTTTCTGCAGAAACGAGCCAACCTGAAGAGACGCCAAGTAAGAACTGAATTGTGAATGTGGTTTCCTTTCCATTCATAGACCCAAAAGGACTTTCTTCATTATTGATCATATGTCAGGAACATTCTCCTGCAGATACAAGAGGCAGCCTCATTGTATAACACAAGTCAATCCTTCCCAACTGTGAACTGCTAATGCTACCCAGGGTACCTGTGTTGAACCACACAGTTCATCTTTTTTTTCTTGTAGTCTGCACTTGTTCAAGACATTCATGACAGGTATATGTGGCTTTTTACAATGCAGTTGTGTGGTAGATCACACACTGGTGCCATGTCGTTGAACAAAACCTTTTCTACACTTGCGAATGGCAGAGATGTTTAGGTCCCCATGTATAATCATGTGCCAACATTGTTGGCTGCTGAAGCTAGGAAGGCTTCCAATATTAAAAGGTGTATGCCATGCCAAAGCATTTTCTTTCCTAGTATTGTAAAGAATGAGGAAGGTTTAGAACCTCTGTTAGGTTTCTACTGCAATGCATTGTTGGTGGGCCCTGTGTTGGAGAGTTCCCCTTGCTGTCTGGTAAAACTTTATCAGTAGGACTAGATGTGCTCAGAAATATCTCTAACATCCAAAGCCACTGGTATACGCACCCCTTGTATATGTGATGCTGCTAGCACAATTGGGAGTCAGAGTTCAGGAAGAACTGCACTCACATGGAGCTTCCTTTTCGGCTTGCTGCACACCGGAGCTGTGCCACTTATGTCAAAGAGCAGTTTGTGTGAGTGACTGCTAGGGGGCACTGTGCAAAGTAGGATAGTTGGGCAGCAGAAGAAAAATCAGCTAGATCCCCTGAAGAAGAAAATAAACTGCAGCCGCTGCAGTTTTTTTTTTTTTTTTTTTTTTCTCTTTCTCTCCCTAGTGCCCAACATGTCAGGCTCTGCTAATGCTTCAGGCAGCCAGCACAGCCAATGATGCTGCATGCCGCACACTTATTGCTGGTGGACGGTGGGCTGGCCACCAGAGTTGAAATGCTTCATTGCAAATGGGCCCTCTTAGAAATAGGAACCTGTTCCGGATTCAACAATTCAGGTTTTTGGTTTTGGAATTAGCACTCCACCTCCAACCCCTCCCACTGGACAGAATCCTCATCATTGCAAATCCTTTAGAGCAATGGTCTCCAAACTGTGGCCCGAGGGCCAGATGTGGCCCTTTCCTACCCTCTATCTGGCCTTTGGGGCACTATTCCTCCCAATGACATGAGGCACTAGTGCTGTCCTCCCACTGACTCCAGTAGTATGGCATAAGTCCTGCCAGTGACACTAATGATGGAGAACTATTCTTCTAACTAGTATCAATGCTGTGGCACTATTCCTCCCACTGACACCATCAGTGGGGCACTATTTCCTTAATTGACACAAGTGGTGGGGTAATATACCTCCCACTGTTACCAACGATGGGGTACTATCCCTTCCACTGATACCAGTAATGGGGAACTACTCCTCTGCCTACTGACCACCAACCCTGAGGCAATGTTTATTCTCACTGGGCCCAGGACATTTTCTATCCCCACTGGCCACAATCTGGCCCCCCTAAAGTCTAAAGTACAAGTAAAGTTTGAAAATATTGGAGACCCCTGCTTTAGAGCCTCATGCACACTGGGCATTTAGCCCCAGTGCATGAAACTTTGGCATTTAGGTGCGAGCAGAAGGTACAGGTGCACCGCCCAGCCCCACTGCCTGCAGCCTGTAAAATGCTATGAGAGGCTTACAGCTACTGGGGCTGGATGGTACACTAAGCAGTACTTACAATTGTAGGGTAGTATATGCCCAGAGGCAAAACCGGTGACCACCAGACAATACCGGTGACCACCAGACAATACCGGCGACCACCAGACAATACCGGCAGCCATATACAAGCAAATTTCTACCCTTCAGCTGCAGCACAGATGCCCTCTACAACCAGGCCTGATTACAGTAAGCTGGTATTTATCTGCCACCTACATGGTCATGCGCTATACTGAAAAACACCAATAGGTGAATCCAACAATTGACACATTATTCTGATCTTTTATAGATTTTAACGATAATCACTAAAACTGTTTTTTGACATGGCATACTGATTGTTGATCAAGGTATCCATCTATTGGTTACATTAGCATCTCTCTGTGACCTGTTATCATTAGTGCTCTATTTTCAGTCTCCATTTCATATGCCTAGAAAGCATTTTCGAGCCTTCATCCCTGGGTGCATACTGCCCCAGTGTGTTAGTAGCACTTGGTGCACCTTCCAGCCCCATTCAGCTGCAACCATTTTCTGCCTCTCATAGAGGTTGGTCCAGGGGCGGACTGACCATTTGGAAACTCGGGCACTGCTCGAGGGCTCGGGGTCAGTAGGGGGCCCCATGAGATGTCCCTGGTACCTTTTTCATAGGCTTTTTTGAGTTTGGGCAAGGACACAGGGACCCCATGATCCCCTATTGCCCGGGGGCCCCATGAGTTGTCAGTCCACCCCTGGGTTGGTCCACTAAAAAGCAAATGGACTGTGCACATGCAAGTGCAGTTTCTCTAGAGCTTAGTAAACTAGGTGAAGCTTCACATTGCAAAGAATACCCAATCACATGCAAGGACAAAAAAACAGCATATTTGCCTGTTAATGATTGGATGATAGAAGTCAGTAGAGCTGCCCCTCATTTACTAATCTCTCGAACAACTGCACTTGCAAAGTCTAATTGTCTTAAACCTGGGTTTACATATATGCGATGTGGTACATTGCATGTGATTTGCACAGGAACCGCACTGCATTCCTGTGCAAATCACATAAGATTTGTGTGTGGTGGGATTGGAGCCATACATTTTGTATGGCTCAAATCACACCACACTCACACAAAAAAAGGTGTAGGACCCTTTTTTTGGTCCGCACTAGAATCTGATCGCATGGGTATTCACACCTATGCGATCCGATTCTGTACATCGCACCGCGTTTTGCAGACCGCTTTTGGGGTGTTGTTAACTTAACATACACACAGCAGCGGATCTCATGAACGGAGTGCGGAATTCGCACAGAAAAAGCTGCAAATTCCGCACCGCATCAGTATGAACAAGGGCTTAGGAAATAAATTGCATAGAATTTTATAGGCAGCTAACAGAAGATTTCCCCATCCTGACAGCAGATTGATAAAAGATGATTGGTAACACAAAGCAGCTGACAGTTCTCAAACAGCAGTAAAGGCCGACCTTATAAGAATAATTGCGGCTTTGCTAATTGATCTTCACACAAAAGGAAACACTATGGAGGCTGATTTTAATTGCATGCTTTGTTAACCTCATAGAGAGAAATAAGTCATATGGAAGAATCATTGAGGAGCAGTAATTGCATTAGTAAAAAATGAATTCTCAACTTTCAAAAAGCAGCTTATACAATGTAAAGAGTTTCTAACAATATTTCTTTGGTCTGTTTTTTCACCACATCTATTAATCTCATTCCGCCTGCAGTCTATTGGTTGCAATGCATCCCCATTCTAGTGAATAGGTAATCTTCAGTGGTGTTACTGGGGATCCTTTTTGCTGTGCTGCAAAGTATTGTGGCCATAGCATGTGCATCACTTTGTCTGGCTGCCTTTGCAGCTTAAGTATAGCCAAAGCTCTTTTGGTCCTACTTCTCCTATGGGTCACAGGAGAACACTTTGTTCTGCACTCCTGTGACCTGTTTTCAGCTGACATTAGGCGAAAGCTGACAGTTGGCTGATGTCACAGAATCGGTCCAGGCTCTGCAGGCATCTGGACAATAATGTCACGATCTGCCTAGAAGCCTGACCATCAGCTGGCTCAGCCTCTCTGTGTGCTGCTGAGAAAGCCGCTTCTATCCCCCTGCACAGCCTGGCACTCCAGTGAATGCTGTAGTGGCAGAGCAAAGAGCCAGAGAGTGACAGTCACCGTCTCTCTGCTCTCTAAAAACCAAGAACTGAGTGATAAGCAGTCTTTGATCACTCAGTTCTTGGTGTAGAGCTGGCAGCGGACAGCTGCAGCTGGGATCAGTGCTGCAATTATCTAGGTGAGTATTATTGTTTTCTGTTTTTAAGGGGGCCTATTGGGGACAGAATAAAAACCTGGCTCATTCACCTATTTTTACCATCCTCCAACCACAAGTGTAAACCATACCTTATAATGGTATCCTGCACAGTGGCAATATTTTACACAGGATTATATTGCAGCTCTCTAGGAAATACACAAAGCACACGAAGACTCAAGTAAGATTACACTACTCTTGAATTCAGACAATATCTGCTTATCCCAGAGTTCAGCTTTAATGTCCACAATCTGTGCACGTGTGCACTTTTAGATAAATTGAGCAAGCTTCCAACTTCAGCACAGATACCATGTTTGCTGGATGGCATTAGCAGCTAGCTGAGTGCTATATTTGTTCCCTGGATCTTTATCTAAATTAATGAAACCTGATTGGTTACTTTGGGTGATGACTCCATTATTTATGTAGTTTTTTTTTTTTAAAAGAGCTTTATTTAATCCTGGTTCCTCTAACTGTAGGACAATGTGCTGCTTATGTATCTATAAACTGAAACTGAAAAAGTGAACTTGTCACCGATTTGGTAAAAGTATCATCCACACTAAAATATAAGTACTGCAAGGTATAGTTGATACTGTTATATATTCCAATCTTTTCCATGTGTAGTCCCCTATTTCAGTTTATGTCCAATTACGAGGCACCCCATTGGATAGTGGGAGCAGAGTGGGTGTTCCCTAGGTTCCAGGAACTCTGGGAGGTCTCGGGTCTGCTTGCAAAAGTTGGCTGGGTATGGGAGCTTCTATCCCCAGAAAAATCTAAAAGTAAACGCTGAGCCCATGTGGTCACTGCCAATGCTACTTTGATACTTTCAAACCTGTGACAGGTTCACTTGATGGAGGAAGCATGATACATTGTTGTTTACTTGCCCTTTTTGTACCTTACACATGTCATTCACACTTGGATGATTCCTCCAGAGATACGGCTATAATAGTAGACCTCCCTCTTTCTTGACCCCTGTATTGAAGATGTCATAGTATCAGCCCAGTTACAGTTTTGTGCAAATTTTTGCTTTGTGACTTGATGCAAATATTTAATGGCAACATTTCTTGTATTGACTTGTATATTTTTTGAGATTTTTAAAGATGAAAAAGACTGCTGCTTCTGACCTCTTCTGTTAGGAACAAATGACGGGGGCCCTGTTGCTGCAATATAGCAATCCATTTTTACTATTGTTAAAGTTTATATCAAACCTAAAAATTAAAGAGTTACTTCAGTTTCCCCACTATAATTCTTTACCTTCTTAGGCTGGGTATACACGGTTAGTTTTGTTTTCATTCAGTTGGCAGAACGAACGAAAAAAAAAAAGCGGTTTCTCCTGTCCACACAAGCAAGGTGGATGGCAGAATCCTTTCTGTTGCAACAGCAATCTGACAGCAGGGACTCTCCGCTGTCCGGATACACTGATAAATGGCTGCAGCTGCTGATCGATAAAAGTCTTCCAACGTGGCCATTCAAAAAAAAAAATTGAACGATCGACTTTAAACGGAAAGGTCTACACACAGATTGAAATTCATCTGGGCCCTGCTGAACAACCCAAATTTGGATCCATGTGTACCTACCTCACTTTTTTTTTTTCTTAAATAAACATGCTTCTTAGTCCAGCAAATCCAACTGTATTCTGTAGGGATCTGCTGCTCCGGTGCTGCACACCTGGTCCTGCACCACCATCTTTTTCTTTGACATCATTGGGAGCTGGCTGTCTCTTTGTGGTTCTTGCAGTTGGCTGCCTGATGAAGTGCATGTGCTGCAGAACATCATCAAGGGACTGGCTGCAATAACAAGGAAGTGACAGCTGTCCCCCCTGTGACATGCTCCAGCGCATGTGTTGTAGAGTACTCAGAGGTCTGCTGGGATGTGTGACATGGATATCCCAGGAGGCTCTGGGCATCTGAATACGTCATTGTCTGATTGCAATCAGGATGCTTTTGTGTCCATGCATCTACCCCTGCATGCCTGTTAGATTTGAATGCACAGTCACCATATCCTCATTCGGCAATACAAGCTGCCTTCATGCAGCTCCAGACACTTAATAAAAAAAAAAAAAAATAATAATAAAATCTCCACCCTGTTCATCACATAGAGACATCAGCACCTGTATGAATGAGGCCTAAAAATTAAAACTGGAGTTGTCGTATGCAAGCCTGGATTCATCCAAACCTGCCGTCACTCAAGGCAGTGACACCACCGCTGACCAACCTTTTCAACTTGGAAAAGTTGGACACCATCACTCAAAATTTCAAGTCTACACATCAATTCATTGCAAGATGGAGGCGCTTCATGGAATAGTCTTTCTCACCAGCTGAACTCCCCTCCCACATAGAGCCGTTTTGCTACACGGATTGGTATCTCAAAGCTCAACTGAGCAACTCACTATGTATACTCCAAGTGACCAATCCTGTTACCAACCCAGCCCTCCAATCACCCTCCTCCCTGCCTTCGAGGGGCACCCATGATATGTACCAAGTCTCACCCAGGTTACAAATCTATGCCTATGCAGTATGACATTGGACAGACCGGGTTACTATCCTTACTATAGTCTCCAAGCTTTCACTCCTAGGGAATATGTATATTGTTCTTGTCATATTTGCTGCTGTACCATGCCGTACAGTACATCCCTATGCTTTTACATTTTTCTTGTGCACTTTATATGTTGTACAGGCTTATTTGCCTTTTCTTAATTGACAAACCTTCAATAAACATTGAAATAAAAAAAAAAAAAAAAAAAAACTGGAGCAGTAATTAACTGGCAAAATGATGACATGAGAAAGAGAAAGGGATGCATTTGTGTTTAGACACAGAGGACAGAAGCAGCTGTCAGATTTTAAATGAGTGAATTATGGGTGCTGTGATTTGTGATCTCACATCTTGAAAATAGGTTACCTGGTTGTCGCACTGTTCTTTGTCAGTGACTTATAAAGTATGATGTAAACCCTAACAATGAACTTCACTTGTGACCATGGATGGAGCTTGGAGCGTGCTCTAAGCAATCGGAAAATCCAATTCCCCTGATCCTCAAAAATAGGGATGCCGGCATGTAAACTCGCTTATCCAACAGGGACAGAATCCTTGAGCTTGAAGGATGCCACACTCCCAACCCAACTGGAGTGTATGTACGAGAGCAGAATGGCCTCCGTCAACTCACCTCCACAAACCACGCCCCTCTGGCATGTTTCACCCCACCCACCGGAACTTAGCGTCTATGACTAAGCCCTGGTGGGTGGGGTGAAACACGTGGTTTGTGGAGTGAGTTGGCTGAGGCCGTCCAACACTTGTACATACACTCCGGTTGCACCAGGAGTGTGGCATTCATCAAGAACAATGAACTTACAAAAAAATACCTGTTGGTCTCTCCAGTAATCCAGCACTGTTCTTTGTCCTAGAAACCTAGAAAAGTGATAGCCGAAAAAGACCAAGTGGTCTACTAAGTCCTTTTTATTTTATTTTTTTTTAAATATATATGTTTTTGGATTTTTGTTATATTTCTTGTCTGAGTATAGATCTATGTTGCTCCCAGGCTTGAATCCACTTACTGTTGACTGAATGGATTCAGACATGTTTGGGACACACTTAGGTCAATACTCTGCCAAAAAAGTGAACCAAATTGAAAATACAAAAACGTGTATAAATTAATTAAAAAAAAAAAAAAAAAAGAGGCAGACTCAATGGGGTTTATTTACTAAAGCTGGAGAGTCCAAAATCAGACTCCCTTCTGCATAGAAACCAATCAGCTTCCAGGTTTCATTGCCAAAGCTTCATTGAACAAGCTGAGGTTAGAAGCTGATTGGTTTCTAGGCAGAAGGGAGTCTGATTTTGGACTCTCCAGCTTTAGTAAATAAACCCCAATGAATCACTTGTTTTTTTTGTCATCACTTTTCTGTGTTTCTAGGACAAATACTCTTCAGTATTATCTCAAACATGATCAGCCCCACCCAGTTCTGTTTTCTGGACTACAGAATACCTCCATATATTACATTTTTGTTTTTAGGTTTTGATGTACTTTAATGTAAGGGATGGCTAGACAACCAGCATTTTCAGAATGTGGTCAGAAACGGCAGCCTCTCCATGTTTCTAATTGCAGGTTTCCTCTTTATTCAGCCTCCAATGGGACATGTGCTATCTCCTAATTCTATTTCTCGGTTTTGCTTTAGAATTTTCAATACAAGTAATGTCTCTTAAATGTTTCATGTTTTTATTTATAGGACTCTGCTAAATAGCTTTTAGTATGTTCTTGTGTCTATTTTCTCGCTGTGTAGTGCTGAAAAGTGTCTTTTATGTGTAGCTGCGTTGGCTGCAGAGGAGCTTGGCTTTGAAAGATTTCATGCGTTAATTCAGTAAGTAACCTGATACCATTAAAGTGGATTCAACAAAACCATGTTTTCAAACACCTTTTTATGTGAACCTTTTATGTGAATCACCTGTGGCTGGTGAACTACAAATCCCAGCATGCCTTAAACCTTTGAGATTTGTTGTTTCCCAAACCGCTGTGAATGGTCTTTTTAACCCCCTTTACCACCTCCCAACGAATGTGTGGAGACAAAAGAGTGAGCTTTGATGCTCACACACTGCACGTATGCAATGCTAGGTGGCCGTTGTTTATGTGCTGAGAGTGTGCTGACTGCAAAGACCAAGCTGTCAAAGACCTCTCCTGGTCAAGACTACAGATCAGGAGCTGGTGAGACTGTGTACATGGTTAGTCAGGTTGGAAAGAGACACAAGTTAATGCAACCATTGTTTTCAATTGGTTGAACTAGATCGACTTGTCTTTTTTCAACCTGATTACCTATATTAGTATATATTACTATTATATACACTCACCGGCCACTTTATTAGGTACACCTGTTTCAATTGCTTAGTAACACAAATTGCTAATTTGCCAATCACATGGCAGCAACTCAATACATTTAGGCATCTAGACATGGTGAAGACAACATGCTGAAGTTCAAACTAAGCATCAGAAAGGGGATTTAAATGAATTTGAACGTGGCATGGTTGTTGGTGCCAGTCTGGCAGGTCTGAGTATTTCAAAAACTGCTGATCTACTGGGATTTTGCACACACAACCATCTCTGCGGTTTACAGAGAATGGTCTGAAAAAGAGAAATATTAAGTGAGCGGCAGTTGTGTGGACAAAAATGCCTTGTTGATGTCAGAGGAGAATGGGCAGACTGGTTGCTGCGACATTCAGATGGTAGGGTCAGAATTTGGTGTAAACAACATGGAAGCATGGATCCATCCTGCCTTGTATCAATGGTTCAGGCTGGTGATGGTGGTGTAATGGTGTAGGGGATATTTTCTTGGTACTAGCAAGGTGTACCTAATAAAGTGGCCAGTGTGTGTGTATGTATTATATGTATGTGTGTGTGTGTGTGTGTGTGTGTGTGTATGTGTATAATATATATATATGTATAATATATATATATATATATATATATGTATATATATATATGTATGTATAATATATATATATATATATGTATAATATATATATATATATGTATAAATATATATATATGTGTGTATGTGTATATATATGTATAATATATGTATACGGCGCATATATGTATTTTATATATATATAATACTATGTGTGTATGTATTTTTGTGTGTTTGTAATGTATATGTATGTATGTATGTATATATATGTATGTGTGTGTATGTATGTATGTGTGTATATATATATATATATATAATGTATGTGTATATCATTCTTCCTAGGTGCTCTGTAATGCTGTCTGAAGTGTCAGACAGGGTGTCCATCCTTGGTGCATGACTGCCCAACATCCCAAACAGGAAGGAGATGGCTGCTTTAATAACAGCGCCAGTCTTTGACTGAGGCAGGCATCGGCAAAGAGCAAGCACCAGCAAGGAGAATGCAGGGGAAGGTGGACATGTCAGCCTCAGGCAAATGCTGGGAGCTAGAAACAGGCGCTCACTTACAAATCAGCCATGTCCCTGCTAGCCGCAGTGTCGTGCCAGTGTGGGTACCCTATCTGATGTTGCAGCTAGTGTTACTGGGTATCTAGGAAAATGGGACAAAGTACTACATATACTGTATTTTGTCCCATTGAGAACGGAGTGCTGGAAAAAAGTGATACTTATTCTCTAAATGCAGTTGACTGAACCTTTTATATGATGTTGAATTATGTTATGATTACTTTCCTTTTTTGTGCTTTATATATATTTTAATCATCAAAGCACTTCCTTTTGCAACCTAACAAGCTTTATTAATTGAAGAATGTTTGTTTACGAACATATAAATATTTGTAACAGTCAGTTATAGTTCAAAGATGACTTCTAATTTGGCTAAATGTTTTATTTATGATTGTTTGAAGGATAACTATATTTTTAAAAAAGAAGTCCTTGACTGACCCCCGCCGACTTCCATATCAAAGCCATTCACCGTACACAGACCTCAGATCAGACAGCCGACTGGTTTGAAAGGCTCTAATGTACTCCTGAGTGCAGCAGACATCCTGGGAGCTGGGCCAAACTCTACTTCACATTTTTGTTTTTTTGCATAAAAAAAAAAAAAATATGTACATTTTAAATCATTATAAAAGTGTAACTAAAGGCAAAACTTTTTTTTTTTTTAATTTTTGATAGAGTAAGGGAGGGTTATAACCCCTGACAATTTTTTGGGGCCATGTGAGTCCCATTGAGGAGATTTCCCTTCTCTTTCTATCCTATAGTCAAAACAGGAAATGAGGGAAAAACCCTCCAAAGTGATGGAATCCGGTGTGTCACCAGAACTAGTGTCCCTATTGGAAGATTTCCATTCTGTTACTGTTCTGGAGACAACCCAAAATATGGAATTTTCTTCTATTTTCGATAACGGTAAACAAGACAAAAAGAGCGAGTGAATCTTCCTAACGGGGGGTTACAGACAGCAATAAAAACTTGAGCTCTAATCCGTCCATACTCAAATAGAAGAAAAATATATTTTAAAAATATTCTTCCTAAATATTTTGACATACTGTATATTTGAAATTCTACAATTTTGGCCATATTCAATATATTTCAATAAATATATATACTGTATGTTGGAATGCGTATTTTTAAAAATATATATATTTTTTAAATATATTCTTCAGATTTTTTTTTTAACAAAAGTAATTTTAACATATATTTGTAAATGCATTCCAAAAATGTAGATTTGTATTTTTAAAGACATACAGTATATTTGAAATGTACTTTTAAAAATATTTTTCATATATTTCAACATACAATATATATATATTTATTGAAACATATTTTGAAACATATTGAATATGGCCAAAATTGTAGCATTTCAAATATATGTCAATATATTTGGGAAGAATATTTTTAAAATACATTTCAAATATAGACTCTCTGTCCCTGTTGCACTTACCTCTGTGGATGATTACCTTTCACTGCCCACACAGCTGGTGCAGGGGTCTGAGGATTTGAAAGCTGCACTCATCTTTGGGAAAGGATCAGCGCGATTCTGATCGGTTACATGCTGGCATGTGAATGCTTTCACCAATCAAAATCACTCGGATGTGTCTCAGCATAGCTAAGGAAAGGAGGGATGAAGATTATGACTTTCGAGTCCACCAGACCCCTGCACTGGCTGCATGGCAGTTAAAGTTAATAATCCATAGAGGGAATCACAGTGGGAACTGGTAGGTGGGTAACGGTGTACAGTGTTCCTTTACTTTGATCTTACACTTTAAAGTGTGTTTCTACCTTTTAATGTCCAAGTCTGATATACCAAACCCAAACTATATGATTTGTATTCTTGTTGGTTTGGAGCAGGTTTATACATAGTACTCTATAGGCAGCTTATAGTTTTCAGAATAACTTGCAGTTAGGGGACAGACTGAGAGACTATTTAAAGGAAGTTGACAACTATGTGGGTGCACAGCCCTGAACTCAACCAGTGTGCGTTTGGGGCCATGGACCCTCACGGATGTCATATTGGGAACATCATCTGTCTGTGCAGCCTCGGTGTCCCAGTTGACATCAGTGGGAAAGTCTACACAGGGATGCACAGAACACCCACATCCCCATGTGGGTAAACACAGCCCTCGCATGGGGCATGCATTGTTACACCCATGTGAACAAGGCCTAAGATACTGGACACTGCAGAGACCTGGTCTGGTTTTATATAGATGGGTGAAGCTTGACAACTGAGAGATCTTAAAATTATATTTGAGTTTCGTGCATTTATTGGCAAATGTAACACATGCTGGCCTCTTGGGCAATGTTCACATGGGGCGATTTAACTCCTTTCCCTATACAGGGCCATTTTTTCCCAGCATGGGGATGCACAGGTGTTGTCCCATTGTTTTCTGTTGGGACTTTTGGCTGCATGGAGAGAACCACTGTGTCCCGAAAGGACGTATAGGTGGGTGGGGGTCCCAAACTCAACATGTGTGCTTTTGGGAACCCACATCTACATGTCATGTTGGGACAACACTTGTGCATCCCTTTGCTGAAAAAAGACAGCCCTGCACAGCACACAGAGATAATTACCCCGTGTGAACAAAGCCTTATGCACAACCCATTCCCTTTCCTGTTCTTGACTCCCTTCACCCCCCTTGCTTAAAGGATATCCTAAAAAAAAATCCTAAAAAAAACAAAAATGTAAATTATTGCAACTTTCCAGTACTTGGATATAGTGAATGCGTTTGTTTTCAGGTAAATTTTCTGAAAGTACAGAAAGGTATCTGTTGATCATGCCAGAATTCTGGTGTCTGATATAGTAAACAATCTTATCAGTTCTCCCAGCCAACTCCTGTGAATGAGTAAAGAATGCCTCCCTATGTAGTGGAGACGAGGAGTAAAAGGGGGAGTAGTAGTCCAAACCAGGAGGAAAGCCTAGTGACAGTCATGGCTCTCTTCATACTGTAGATACAGCGGAGTGTATAAGTGTAGCTAGCCAGGCACGTGAAGTGTGTTATTTGCTGGATTACTGTAAGGGACCGCCCGGCGACACCACTAGCACTCCACTGATCAGGCGTCCACAGCGCACGGAGTCTAAGCACCAGAGTACTTGTTCACCAGGGCCCCTGATGGTGGGGATGGACTTGGAGCACCCCGGGACCAGGTCGTGACTACTGAGGATACCCGTCAGTGGTAGGGGTATTCGCCAGGGGCTCCCACGGGAGAGAGCCTGATATGAGGAGGTCTGGAGACCCCGTTGAGAGGGATGGATGGATGGCTGAGCAAGTGCAGAGTCAGGCAGGCTGGGTCGGTAACTATGGGGACGGTGCGGTACAAAGCAGCGGGCAGAGAATAGTCGGGTCACACGCCAGGTCAGCAACAGCAGGTCAGGTCCAATAGGGGGCATCCAGGAGAGAGGACAGGCAAAGCAAGGATCTGGGCAGGAGAATACAGCAGGGTCAGGCACAATCTGGGTCAGCAACTTACAAGAAACAGGTTCGCGATACAGAATAAGACCAGAAGGCACTGAATGACAGCTCAGGGCCATTTAAATATCCCGCCCTGCGCTGTCATTGGTGCCAGGCGCGCGCCCGCGGCCTCTACTGCGCATGCGCGAGCTCGATCGCCGCGGTCAGCCCGGCCCTAGTGCCCGTGTCCCTGCACAGGGCGGTGCACTGCACCTGCGCCAAGACCAGCGCCGCGGCGATCCCCGACAATTACTAAGTAAAAAAGAAATGAAATGTTTGAAAAATAAAATGATCTATGTTGCCTCCACCGCATTTGCAGGAAATGTGGGGCTAAAGCTCTTTTGACCCTACTTCTTCTGCGGGTCACAGGAGTGCATTTCATTCCGCACTCCTGTGACCCATTTTCTGCTGATAGCGGGCTAAAGCCGCTGATGTCACATAACTGGTCCAGGCTCTGGAAAGATCCCGACTTCACTGTCAGGATCCACCCAGATGCCTGGACTGGCAGCTGGCTCAGCCTCTGTGTGCCACTGAGAGCCTGAGCCAGCCTTTCCTGCCCCCTCCACACAGTGGTGCTCCAGTGAGCACTAGAAGGACAGAGCAGAGAGCCGGATACTGACAGTCACCAGCTCTCTGCTTACTGAAGACCAAGAACTGAGTGATCCGCAGTGTTTGATTGCTCAGTCTTTAAAGCGTCGGGGGCAAATGCAGCATCCACCTAGGTGAGTATGGATTTTTTTTCCCCTATTCCCAAACTTCTTTTTTTAAGAACTGTCAAGCTGCAACAAATACATTTTAGTTTTTAGGTATACTTTAAATTTGCCACCACTGCTCTGTAAAAGTTCCAGTACTTCAGAGAAGCACATGAACATTCTGCCTCCTCACATTTCAATGCTTAGGGCCTTGAATGGTCAATCACGAGGTCCCAGTGTCATCACATGGGTCTGGGGCACACGCCGATGAGTGTGCAGTTGTCAGCTATACTCTGTTGATGTTGCTGGTGACTTTTTCAGAGCTGTGGCAGTGAAGGAGCAGTAAAGCTAATTATATGACCAGAGGGTCCCTCCATCCTAGACAGGTTCATTTAAAGCATAAATCCAGCAAAAATAATAATTCCAGGATTTTGCTTTCTGGAGTTATGCATTAAAACCTTTGCTAAGCATGTCCCTAAGCTTTATGCCAATGTACTGCGGGTCTAAAAAATGTTTTCTATTATTATAGTCATAGCAGTGCTTTGCATGCTTCATTTGGAGTTTGTTTAATGGTCAGCTGCATGAAATGTAATAATTCACATGTGCACATCATTATGCCCTATAAATTAACTTTGTCAATAATTACTTGTTTTCCCATCTAGGAGATTCAATTGCAATATTTATTTTCTCCTAAATGAGCCATTCATGGCATTCTTGGTTCGGGATGATTAGGAAGGAATGTGTACACATTTTACTTTATAGACCTCCATAGCTGAGACTTTTCACAGCAAGATTGATATTTATAGTGAGAATGAGAAGTCAGAAATGGCAGAAGATGTGTAGATAAATAATAGACAAATTGCCTTGTGGTTCTACTGGGCTTTGAGCTTCGAAATTTCCTTAATTTTTCTTAGAATTTTTAAAATGTTAACCAGTTAAGTGCTCACCCCTTTATATTCCCTATGGGCCAGAGCAATTTTTATCTTTTTTTTTTTTTTTTCTTCAACGTTAAAATAACAAAGAAATACATAAATCATTTTTTTAGGACATAAAAGGCTTTCTTTGGGTTATACTGTCTGGCAAAAATGATTTTATTATACAATCCTTAAACAAAAAAAAAATCTAAAAAAAAGGATAAATTGTATTCTATTGTCCTGTTCAAAATTACATTAAAATTATGATTTTGGTGCAAAGCATTGCAAAGATATTTACAAATAAAAGGCTTTTTTTTATTTTCCACTATTTTTAATGCAAAAAAGAACAAAAAACATTCAAATAATATTAGTTGGAAAAGAAAAATCAACAGGTATAATTTGCAAAAGCTAAAGATAGAAGAAGGAGGTAATTGGGACTGATTAGTAAACCAAAAGTTAAAAAAATGCAAACACACTTTAATTTTTTTTGTTTTCTTTTTTTAATTTTTTTTAATTATCAGGCTGCTATAACTGATGCTATAGCCTTTTATCAGCAGATGACGCAAACTAAATACGAAAGTAACAATGCCACTTTGTATATGTCTTGCCTTTGAACGGTGTTTATACACACTGTGCCAGACTATCTGTTTTGACAGCAGCAGCTGTAACAGTTGCTGCATGTACACGTCAACTCGTCATTTATTACTCATCACTTGTCATGTCATTTGTCTGACAGCTGGGAATTGCTGGTAAGTGCAATGGGGTAGTGAAATCTAGAAATAATCTGTTAAAAAGGCAAGTAGGAACCTATATAAGGCTAGGTTCACATTGATGCAGTTCTGTGTGCTGCGTTTTGCATGGGCATGACACCCTATTCATTTGACTGAGCTGCCATGCTTCCTGAAATGCAGGGAAAAGGTCACTGCAACATTTCTGGAATGACAATCTGCACATGACCTGCAGAAGCAGTGCGGTTCCCAGTGCAGCAGTGATTTCCAGTGCGTGCGGTGTGCCATTAGGCTTAATGGCTATCTATATACTATATCTATAGTCCAAGATCTCCTGCGCATGAGTGTGTAGATACTCAAAACACAACCCGAGGGATCTGGGTGGTCTTGCTGTCCTCCACTTGCTGGGGAATTTCCAGAAGTTGACTGTAGAGAAACACAAGAAAAAAGGGCACACTGGCTTACTGCATTATCCCAAGGGAATTTATTTCAAATGAATAAACACATAAATGTACTCACAAGCCAAGCTTTGGAAACCTCTAAATGAAATGGTATATCCACACAATGATGGGTAGGACCTGAATGGATGAACACGCCAGGCGAACGCTGTCCAGGGATCCTACCCATCATTGTGTCTGTTGATATATTTTCCATTTAGCTGTTTTCAAAGCTTGGCTTGTGAGTACATTTATGTGTTTATTCATTTGAAATAAACTCCCGTGGGATAATGCACTAGGCCAGTGTGTCCTCTTTTCTTGTGTTTCTCAAGATTAGGATTAATGGCACCTGTGTGCTTCCAGCGCGTTTTTTCTGTGCTGCTGGTTGCAGCTGCGGGAACAAGTGCAGACCCACAGCGGGAACCACCCGCACAGATTTGACCCTGGCATAGAATATCTGTAGGAGGACAGTAGAAACCTATATACAGGGTTGGTAGGAGGGCAGTAGGAACCTATATATAGGATCAGGTAAAGATGGCCATACAAAAAAGATCTTTAGTTAGACCTCATTTAGAATACTGTGTCCAGTTCTGGAGACCTCACTTACAAAAAGATATTGATAAGATAGAACGAGTCCAGAGATGGGTAACAAAAATGGTGAAAGATCTGGGGGATAAAACATATCAGGAGCGACTTTAGGAACTTCTCATGTACAGTCTGGAGGAAAGAAGGGAAAGGGGAAACCTTTAAATACTTCAAGGGGGTGAAGGTTCAGGAAGGCAGGATTTTCAACATGAAACCAAAATCAAGAACACGAGGACAAGACCTTCAACTAACTGGAGGGAAGTTCAAAACTAATCTCAGCAAGTACTATTTTACTGAAAGACTAGTTGATGCTTAAAATAAACTTTCATAGGTAGTGAGCCAGTCAACAGTAAATAGCTTCAAACATGCTCGGGACAAGCATAGATCTATACTCAGACAAAGAAAGTTAACAACCCCCCCCCCCCCCCCCCCCCCAAAAAAAAAAATCTCTCACTTTCTTTGTTTTGCTTTTAACATTTGATTTTGAAGTGGATGGACTTTTCTGAATGAACACCACATACACTGTTAGAAATTCATTTGTTCGAAAATTTTCTGTCTTGCTCCTTCAAACTTTCTTGTCACCGCGGATGAAAAGGAACCACAATGTGACCTCCAGTGGCATCCCTAAGGGGGTGTGGGCCGCACCGGGTGACACCATCACAGTGGGTGCAGGATGCCAACAGAACTTCTGGGCTCTGTGAAGGTCCTTGCCAGTTGTTGGGGTGATTTCGAATTCCTGGCACAGTGACAGCTGCCCCTGGTGTAGCGGTAAAATAAGTATCCCGTGAAGCTGATCCTGCGGATCACTATGGGTTGCAAGATCAGTTAACCCCATATAGGTTACCTGATCTTGCAACCCATAGTGATCCGCAGGATCAGCTTCAGCGGTTTGTAGCCTGTAAGGGGTTAACTGTGGCAGCTCTGTGCTAAAGTCAGAGATCGGATTCTTCGGCCTGAAACCGGCACATGCGCAGTTGCTTCAGGGGATACATATCTCCATGGGATACTCATTTTACCGCTACACCACAACCGCTCCTTCCTCTCTGGAGGGGTGACACCACGTGTTACCGCACCAGGTGACACCAACCCTAGGGACACCTCTGGTGACCCCACTAACAATTACAAAATTGGATAAATGTTCTTAAAACAAAACATTTTGGACAAAATTCTACTAGTGTATGGCCAGCTTAAGGTTTAATTTTTAGTTCTGACTAAAGTGTGCCTGTAAAAAGTAAATAGTATCTATATTATGTCAAAAGCAAGCAATGCCTGTTTGAACAACATGTCTTTTTGTTACATTTCTCCAGAAAAAGAACTTTTCGAAATTTTAGTGAGCTGAAGGGAGCTTTATGGGATGAATACTTAACTTGGCAGAACAAGTTCGGTGTGCTGCTGTTCTTGTACTCTGTCATCCTCACCAAGGTATGTTTAGAGGTTTGCTGCTATCCTACGTGTATGCAGGTTTCTCAAAGTAAAGATTCTATGTTGTGTATAATAGTCAATTATTTTCTTCTTTTATTTACTATTTTGCACTTGAAGTATTTAATTGATATAGGTGATAATGCCACTTTTTATGTGTGCACACCTACCTGTCCTGGTCATTAACATAATCATTTACCAGTAACACCTGGTTCACATATATGAGGACGTGCGGGCTGCATTTTGTATGGGCACGAGAGCCCATTCATTTGAATGGACTTCCGTGCCCCGTGACATGCAGGGAAGAAGTCCCTGCACTTCTTCTGAAAACGCAGCCCGCACGGGTTCCCAGTACTGTTGCATTTTCAAGTGTGGGCGGAGTTTCATTAGAACTAATGGCACCCGCCCGCGGGTCTGCATTCCTCTGTGTGGGTGGTGCGGCTGCACGGATTTTTTGCGGATCCGCAGCGGCACCACCCGCACAGATGTGAACCTAGCCTTAGTGGTGTCAAAAACTATAGACCTGTCCTTGTCTTATTAAATGATCTAAGGCCGGCCATACATTGGTCGAAATTCGACCGATTTTTCGTCCAAAAATCAGACCTAAGAATAATCAGCCAATTTTCACTCTGTTAGTGGGTCAATGGAACCGGCCAATTTTTGTGGTTCCTCCTCTTTTCGGTGATCAAGCATGTTGGAAAATTCGTGAGAAACTACTGATTTTCGACTCAATGATGGTCAAATCATACGATAATTTTTCCGAAACGAATATGCGCATGAACCGTGACCTGGCAGGAACAGACGTGTCGCCTGTTATATGGGGTGAACTTTATGACTTGGTCAGCCGATTTTCTAAATCATTGATGAGACCATCGGATTACTGAGTGAACGACTGTGTCGATTTTTTGACGAAAAATCGTTTGGTATTCGAACCATGTATGTCCTGCATAACCCTGTTTCATACTCCAGTCTGGGGTGGGGGTTTCCTTATAACAATAGAGAAAAATATGAGCAGTAAATGGGAAAATGAAGAAATTTTGTTGCCAACTACAATACAGAAGGTAGTTTTAATCCCAAGCACCCATAGATCTCTACTATGTACTAGTGAAACACTAGTTCATTTCTTTGGGATCAGGCTAAGCATATCTGGGGAAAAAAAGGCAGGGTTCAGGATTTATTTCAAGATCTAAAACCTGTATTTAGCCTATTCTGGACAATGTAATAGATTATGTTTAGAGGATGCAGTGGCAGCAGCCTTCCATTCATTCTCTTTCTTTCCTGACCTGCCAATGTAGCCAGACTAAATGCATGGTACTCAGGGAAAATGCAAAGCTTTCCTGCGCTAAAATAATGAAGCGTTTACCTGGCCTGTATGTTATCATGGTGGAGTAGAGGAAGCCTACATATACCATGTAACACAGACTGACACTGCTACTGCATTGGAGACCTAGGATCAGGCTATTCCTTGCAGCAGGGGCAATCTGCACAAACTTACAAATCCTTTTCCTGGTAAAACAGTTCCCATTTATTATTATTATAATACAGGATTTATATAGCGCCAACAGTTTGCTCAGCACTGTACATTATAATGGGAGACAGTACACAAGACAGTACAGTAACAATACGATTCAATACACGAGGGATTCGAGGGCCCTGCTCCTTGGAGCTTACAATCTAGGAGGGAGGGGATAGTGGTACAGGAGGAAATAGCTGTGGGGGATGGAGTGGTAGGAAGAGCGGAAGAGGAGATTGGCAATTAGCTGAGGGTGGGGTAGGCTTCCCTGAAGAGATGGGTTTTCAGAGTGTGCCTAAAGGTGAGCAGAGTAGGTGACAGTCTGATGGATTGGGGTAGGGAGTTCCAGAGGATGGGGGAAGCCCTGGAGACGAGCATGGGAGGAGGCGACCAGGGAGCTAGAGAGTAGGAGGTCTTGTGAGGAGCGGAGAGTGCGTTTTGGGTGGTATTTGGAGACAAGATTGGTGATGTAGTTTGGGGCAGTATTATGAACAGCTTTATACGTCAATGTTAGCGTTTTAAATTTTATCTGTTGGGCAATTGGGAGCCAGTGGAGGGATTGGCAGAGGGGGGTGGCAGACACAGAGCGGTTAGTAAGGTGGATGAGTCTGGCCGCAGCATTCAAGATAGACTGAAGCGGGGATAGCCTGTGGTGAGGTAAGCCGATGAGGAGGGAGTTACAGTAGTCGAGGCGTGATATAATAAGGGAGTGAATGAGTTGCTTAGTGGTTTCCGAGGTTAGGAACGGTCGTATTTTGCAGATGTTGCGGAGGTGGAGTCTACATGAGTTTGTCAGTGATTAGGGCTGGAAGGACAGATTGGAGTCTAGGATGACACCTAGTACTCTGGCTTGAGGGGTGGGACTGATGGTAGTGTTGTTGGTCGTGATGGAGAAGTCAGGGGAGGGGGCGTGGGCTGGGGGGAAAACTAGGAGCTCAGTTTTGGAAAGATTTAGTTTGAGGAAGTGGAGTGACATCCAATCCGATATGTCGCTCAGTAGGCTTGTAATACGGCCAGAGACTGAAGGGGTGAGGTGAGGGGTAGAGAGATTTTAAAGCATAAAATCCCTGTTTCAATAAGGCTGCATGCACACTGGGCATTATGATAATGCTGGTAATGTTAGCTGTGTAAAGTCACATTAAAAACGTGAGGTTTTCAGCTTTTTTTTTGTGTTTTTGCATTAGTGTTTAGTGGCATTTTGCCACGATTAGCAGCGTTTTCCTGCGTTTTTCTGTGTTAGTGGTTTTAAAAATTATGGGTAGTCCCGATGCACCCTTTAAAATTATGGACAGTCTTGAGGCTCCCCATTCTAAAATTGGGTGCCTCAAGACTGTCCATAACTTTAAACAGGCACCCCATTCTACAATATGAGAAACTATTCTAATAGTTTTTATAATGTAGCAACATCCACACTTGTAGGACACAACACATTAGAGGTGATTTATTAACTAATAGCCAGGCCTGTCCACCCGCTGGCTTGTATACACGTTTTGGGCAATTTTTAGACATTTTGCCAAGGCACCCCTGAAGAAACCTCAAGGCACCCCAGGGTGCCTGGGCACCCTGGTTGAGATAGGCTGATCTACAGGTACTGTGCCTTATTATAGGCTTCTCTGTAGGCAAAACATAACAAAAATCCTTTACTACCACTTTAAAGGATAGGTTCACCTTTCTGAATATGTGGCAGCCCTGTAATTGCTGGCAAACTTCAAAGCAAGCGCAGCTATGTGGGGCTCCACCCACACAAACCTGTCATTGATTCATAGATCCCTGTGAATCAATGAACTAAAAATACCAACAGCCTTTGCGGCTGTCGGCTTGTCATTCTCGGTGAACTACCAAAGCACTGTGGTAGTTCATTTGATTCTTTTGGTCAATGTGAATCTGCCTACTTGTAGGATGTATGGGCAGACAGCTCTCACCGACAGTCTGAAGGAGACCTGCATGGCACCAATGATCTGCTGATCGTTGATGCATTGCTTTCCAGGCACCTAAAAAAAATAGTAAATGCACATTTTTTTTTTTTACCTTTTAAAAAAAAAAAATGTGCATTTATTTTTATTTTTTTTTACAGGTGAACGTCTCCTTTAAAAATCATTTAATTCTTCTGGTCAGTGTGAATCTGCCTACTTGTAGGATGTATGGGCAGACAGCTCTCACCGACAGTCTGAAGGAGACCTGCATGGCACCAACGATCTGCTGATCACTCATGCATTGCTTTCCAGGCACCTAAAAAAAAAAAAAAAAAAAGTAAATGCATTTTTTTACATTTAAAAAAAATGTGCATTTATTTTTATATTTTTAAAAGGCGAATTTATCCCTTAAAATCACTTGATTCTTTTGGTCAATGTGAATCTGCCTACTTGTAGGATGTACGGGCAAACAGCTCCCACCGAGAGTCTGAAGATGTGCATGGCACCAGCGAAAAAAATAGTAAATGCACTTTTTTTTTTTTTTTTTAACCTTTAAAAAAAAATGCATTTTTTTAAAGGTGAATTTATCCTTTAAAATAAGAAAAAACTCATTTAGCCTCCACATCTGTGGCTTGTATGATGACGTCTACAGTATTACATTTTTGTTCTTGGGTTTAGATACACAAACTTAGGTTTCAGAAAGGAGATGTTAAACACAGGTCTTAATAGGAGTGCTGAGTGTCACTTTAAACAAGCTGCTAGTAGTCTTCAGCAGGCTTTCAACGAGCTTCAAGAAGTGCTGAAGTATTCTAAATCCCGCTAAAGCTTGTTGGAAATGACATTCACAGCTCCGATTAACATCAGTGTTTAACATCTCCAGACTGGAGCTTAATGGTGTTTTTAAAAGGCTTCAACAAAGCTGCTTGAAACTGGGTGAAAGCTTTGCAAATGCTTTGTGAAAGCTTTGCAGTCCACATTGATATTATACAAGCTGAAGCTCATGTATATAAGGCCTTATGAAGCTGTCAGGAATATTAATGACTTCTTTACACCCACCAGGGTATTGAAAATGTGAAGAATGAAATAGAAGATGCAGATGAGCCATTGATAGACCCAGTATATGGGCATGGCAGGTAAGACTTTGGCATGATTAAACTCAGTCTTTAGAATCAAATGGTTGAAGAGAGCTCGTCATTACTGCCCTTAGTCAAGAATTTGAATATTTAGTTATTTTATTAGTCCGGATTAATTTATGAAAGATTTAAGTACAACCACCTTGTTTAGCTTTACTGGCTTTGTGTGAGGTTAGCTTGAGTTTTGATATTAAAATAACTCCCACAATATTTATCTCCGGAATAATCAGTTCACTAATAAAAGTGCATTAAATGCTTTGTGCCTTTTTAAATTTTAATTTTTTTGTGCGGTATTTAACACATTTTTTTCACACATTTTACTGCAGACCGGGTCTCCAGCTGTAGTGGTAAAAGAAACATTTAGCAGTGGTATTCCTGCCACTGCTAAATGTGACCGTTCCAGCCCAGAAATTCTGGTTGCCAGGGAGCTGGAAGCTGCCAGTGTCCTAACAACCAGTGACTCATCCATGCCCTGCTTATTTAGCTATCTGCCAGGGAATGGGTGCTAGCGACTTGACAACCAGCACCCCTGAGATGAAATTATCATATGTAGCACTTCTCAATGCTTCAACTCTTAAAGCGGAGTTCCACTCACTCTGTAAAAAAAATAAGTCAGCAGCTACAAAAACTGTAGCTGCTGACTTTTAAAAAACAGCCACTCACCTGTCCCATGATGCCGCGGTGCCCCCGCCGCAGCTCGTTTCACCAGCCATCCTGTATTCCAGGCGCCGGCATCTTCAGTGTGGGCACCCGGCTGTGACAGCTTGCGGCTTCACAGCCGGGTGCCCACTGAGCATGCGCTAGTAGTGCTGCGCTTCCTGAATGGCCCCATGGGCTTCTGGGACCTGTCACGTGTCCCACAAGACTACAGGGAGGGAGGGTAGAAGGGCAACTTCCGCTTCCGATCGATCGCAGCTGAAGTGGGAGCGGGTACCTGTCAATTTCGAGTACCCGCTCCCCTAAGGTGCCAATCCTTAATGGGGAGCAGGGGACCAATCTTTAAAGCGGAACTTCCCCTTTTGGGTGGAACTCCGCTTTAATTTATACATTTGTTAAATAGCGAGTGGCTAGACCGTGAGATAATTAACAAATTAGGTGATGAATTGGACTTTGTTGGATAACACATCAGTGTGCTTTTAAATTTTTTGTGGTATTTTTTTCATAGGAACATAAAATGAATTGAGCTTTTGTTTATCGCGTGTGATATTTAGAACAAAATAGGTCACTTGATATAAATATTGTATGCAATATTGCATTGAGCCCTGTGTCTCGTAACATAATACTTAGTAGTCTTTCACTTAAAGCTTGATTTCGGGCAAATTATTTCTTCCTATATAGTGGGGCTGTGCCTGCACTGTACGGATTAACTACTGGATTTTTTTTCTAGGGGAGAGGAGAGTGGAGATATACTTACCTAATCCTCTGATCCTCCTGGCACCCCCCATGCTCCAGTGGTCTTGAATAGTGGACAGTTCCTGACGTCATCACGCACAAAGCAGACTCCATAGACCAGGAACAGTCCACTGCTGGACTGTGGGGGAGCACCGTTTTTCCTGAGGATCGAAGGAGTGGGTCAGTATAAGCTTTCTGCTCACCCTTAGACAAAACGAGCTGTTGATCCGTGCATTGCCCCACTGCATGGGAAAAACAATTTGCCCGGAATTCAGCTTTAAGTCTAGAGATCTGTCAACTGATTTGTTATACATGCTCTGAAGCTGAGAGATTGTTTGTTTGTTGACTGCTCAGCACTTGAAAATAACCGCTTGCCCCAACAGGAAGAGTCAGATACACAAAAGTACACAAGCAAGTATTTATAAGGAAAAAAATAAAATATATATATAGAGAGAGAGAGAGAGAGAGAGAGAGAGAGACTGTTGTCGTTCATTCATTTCCAGAACTCCGGAACCCAGCACGGCCGCGCTGCTGTCACAGGAAAGGGGGGGATTGCGCAGCGGCAGCAGCATTGGCAACATGTTACATATTCCCCCCTAAAAACGCATGGAACATGGAACATATTCCCAAATGTATGTATAAGATGTGCAGCACTAATAATATAATAAGATGAATGGTAAATCAAGTTCATAAAATTCATAAAAATGCATAGGATCCTTCCTTGTGATAAAAATCTGTGTCTGGAAACAGTGGTATAACTGCGCACTCACCAGAAGCGCATAGGCAATGCATATATATATATATATATCCACTGTGGACCTCTCAGGCAGTCAGGGTTGTGGCAGGTAACTGGTGAGCTTCCTTCTAGGAATAGGTCAGCGCAGCAGCAGGTCTTGGGTTAAAGATGGAGATCTGCCGATCCAGAGGTCCCCTTTAGGTTGGAAGGGTGCTCAGCTGGTTACAGGGCTCCCTTCCTCTGGATGTTAGTAGGTGAGGGTCATCTGTAGGCTTAATAGCCCATAAAAGAGGTCTCTTGATTTACCATTTCATCTTATTCTATTATTAGCGCTGCACTTCCTATACATGCAGTTTTACTAAGGTTTTTTTTTTTTTTTGGTTCCCTTTAGTGCTACAGCCGCTTTACCAAGAGCGCTCACTTTACCCTACCTTTTACATATTCCCAAATGTGAAAGGTGAATTCTTTAAGCATTCCTGAAGTTTTTTTTTTTTTTTTTTGTACCTACTGTATGTACATTGAATATCTCCTAATAGTATCCTGTTTAGGAGATATTCACAGCTGCTGCAGCCAGTGATATCCCCGGCGCATGCACAGTGTGAGGTTAACTGGGGATGGAATATATGTCAGGTAAGTGTATGCACATAAAAATCCACTGGGTTTTTTTTTTCAGCTGAAACTCCATGCTGATGAATGGCAAATGTTGTACTGTGTGGCAAGGCCTGTATACTGTATAACAAATGCATCTGATTATTGTAGGCTTATCTAATTCTCCTTGTTTCTTCTTTCTTAGCCAAAGTTTGATTAATCTTCTGCTGACAGGACACGCCGTTTCCAATGTGTGGGATGGAGATCGAGAGTGTTCAGGGATGAGTAAGTTTCCTTTTTGTATGCATTTCACTGACATGTCTGTAAATCCTGAAGGTGCCCATTAGATGATTGTTCCCCTGTCAATGCTAACCCGGTCAGATGACAATTGCAAGGCTAAGGTGCACCACAGCGCACTTATTTCAGAAAAAGTTTCATCATCCAAGCTGAATGCAGGTTTAGATTCCTCGTGTCCAGGGGCAGACTGACAACTCATGGGGCCCCCGGGCAATAGGGGATCATGGGGCCCCTGTGTCCTTGCCCAAACTGAAAAAAGCCTATAAAAAAGGTACCAGGGGCATCTCATGGGGCCCCCTACTGACCCCGGGCCCTCGGGCAGTGCCCGAATTTTCAAATGGTCAGTCCGCCCCTGCTCGTGTCTTTAAAGAGGAGCTCCAGTCTCCGGTGTAAAAATTAAAAGGTCAGCAGCTTCAAAAACTGTAGCTGCTGACTTTTAATAAACAGCGACTCATCCAGCGATGTGCTCACCCCAGCCGTTTTCTTCTGTCCCCAGGGCTGCCATGTTAACTGTGGGCACCAGGCTGAGAGCTGCACTGTGCCTTGTGAATGGTCCCACAGTCCTGTCACTTGTCCCAGAAGATTGCAGGGAGGTAGCGGGGAGGAGAACTTCTTCTGATCACCTAGGCCAGTGGTGGACAAACTGCGGCTCTCCAGCTGTTGCAGGACTACAAGTTCCATCATGCCTCTGCAAGTCATAGCTGTAACTGCAATGCCTCATGGGAAATGTAGTTCCACAACAGCTGGAGAGCCGCAGTTTGCCCACCCCTGACCTAGGCGGACAGAGTGGAAGTTCGATTGGGTTCCTGTCAAAATCAGGTACCTCCTCCCCCCGATCCCCAAAAGTGCCATTTCTTTACTAGGAACGGAGGAGGTCTTAAAGCAGAACTTCCCCTTTTGGTTGGAGCTCCGCTTTAGGGAGCCAGTCCAAAAACATTTCTCCATGACTTGGTCATACTGAGCAAAGTTTTCTTTGTACTGGTACCTATACTTAAAGTGGTTGTACACCCTTACTGGCCTCAGATGATACACAGAGATGAAAGAAATACTCCTTTCTAAGTTGTACCTGCTTATCTGCAGTTCTGTTAAGTACAGCCATTTAAAGTGCAGAATTTATAACGCTTGTCTGAGAAAATGGGGAGGGGGGCTGAAGTTGCACACTGCAGAACTCAGTGAGGAGAGCTCTGAGAGCTGGTTGGAGGAAGGAACACACCCTCCTTAACACAGCACGCAGGAACAGAGCTGAGGCTGTCAATCACAGACTGTGTGCTGGAGGTCCCTCCCCTGTCACCTTTTTTCTCTTGGTTCAGGAAAACGTTTCAGAACCGACTCAGAAATGACACTTTGTGCTCTGCATTGAGACAAGTACACACTATAGAAGGATATGCTTTGCAAAGTTTGCATGGACAGAACTGGGGTGTACGTGATTGTTGAAGTTTGCAGAATTGGAAAAATTCACAGTGGCAGCTGGCTGTGGCTCAGGTGTAGCAAAGATCTCTCCTTTTCTGCACCATATTCAAAACGCGCTGCAGTTGCATTCTGCGGTTGGTGTCAGTTGCAAGTTAGCAACGCCCCAATTGCAGGTCACAATCACAGTGTGTCAAAGTACTATGTGATCCAGTTGCAGTGCGTTTTTTAGTGCATGTACTACTTTTGTGCTGTGCAATGCAATTTCAGCCCGCTCAAAATAAATGATCTCCTATCACACCGCACTGAACGGAATGTGAATTGCAAGAGAGTGCGCAGTTCCTTTGTGATTGCTAGTGTGACCTAGCCCTAAAAGTAACATGTAAACCTCAGGCTTGAAATATGAGCAAAGCATATCCCTCTATATTGTGTACTTGTCTCACTTAAGAGCACTAAGTGTCATTTCTAGCTGCTTCCTCCTTCCTCTGCTATATAGGCGTGAATTGCTTCTAACAAGTTTTCCTGACACCAAGAGAAAAATAGTGATGGAGAGGGAATTCCAGCAGATTGACAGCCTCAGCTTTGTGGAGGGGGGTGTTTCTCTCCCCCCCCATTCAGCTCTCAGAACTCTCCTCACTGAGCTCTGCAGTGTGTAATTTCAGCTCTCTGCCCCCTGCTTTCTGAAAGCTCAGGCAAGCTTTATAAATTTATGAAATCTGAACAGATGTAGAGAAGGGAAGATTGCAGATAAACAAGTACAACATATGTTAGAGGATTTGTTTCATCTCTGTGTATCACATGAGGCCAGTCACTTCACTGGGTATATGTAATGATTTACAATCACTTTTACTGAAGTATAGTACAGCAAGACTTGCGAACCCTTTGTTTTTAATTTTATTGTAACAGTACTATCCTACTTTATTTTGTAAAGTGCTGCTCAAACTGTTGGCACTATATAAAGCCAATAATAATAATAAAAATAATACTCAACAAAAAAAAAAAGAAAAACCTTTCCTATGCCATGTATTAATGTGACCAGTAGGTGTCAGTCACGTCTTGTTCTTCCTTATTCTGTGACTTGTATTGGAGATGAAGAAACTTGTCTGGTTGTGCCAGGGCTGGCTGACCTCTCCGAGCCCTTTTATAGGTCTGCAAAACAAGAAAAAACCTTTTCTTCCTTTAGGCCATTTTTCACCGCTTGTATTTACAATTATTAAAAGGTTTCTTCCTTTTATGTACTAATGAGGTTTGTGTGTAATATTCCAGGGAAGATGAAGGAGATAAGAGATTTGTGTACATTGTATCTCTTTCATCCTTTTAGAAGTCAGTTGGATTATTGTGGGCCCTGTGATTAGTTGACTCAGTACAGAGCTAGGGGGCATTTTCAGGGCTCAGTCCTGAAATCTTCACAGGCTGCATTCTTAATAACAGAAACACGGGGCTTTAAAAGTACCTTTTCCGGTGTGGTTTTCATCTATCAGATTCAAATTAGGAAATATACTTTAATAAAAAGTTTCTTGTCACATCTGGCCTGAGTCTCGGGTGAGAACCAGACCTATTCTGCCAAGTTTTGGACATCTTGCTTACATACCTGTGTTGTAGGTTGGTCTACCTTCACTCCTCCATCTTTCCTTGCAATGTCATCTCTTGCCGTTTTGAAGTGCATTGCCAGGTAAATTAGATGCATTTACTGTTCGGCTGACAATTTTTCTGTCCAGCTTCTTCGATTCATTTGAAGGATATTGGGTACAGTGGTGCCAGGGACAATCACTGGTCAAATTTAGGCCGGTTCAATAGGAAATTCAGCTTGAAGTGTATATGAAAATCCTCAGCTTGTAAAACAATTAATACAGTTTAAAATAGAAATGAAAAGTAAAATATTTGTGTACAGATATAAAAAAAAATTAACACTTTTTTTCCATCTTTTTTAAAAAGTGATCACATTCCTTCTCAGGGAGCTGAGGGAGGAAAAACAACATAATACTGGTCTTCTCAGTGAATGGCTGTGGGGGGGGGGGGAGGAGTGACGGGACAAGGCTGAGCTTACAGCACAGATAGAGAACTGACCACACTGTGCTCTCATGTTTGTGTCCAGTCTTTAATAGGGAAGCAGAGGGACTGGTGGGAACACCAGGGATTTCACAGAAGGGAAGCAATATAAAGAGAACAGGATACCTTTTTTCATTATGGTGCAACGAAATGAAAATTGTGGTGCCAAAATCAAAATTCAAAATGAGCAGTTTTTAAAAATGAATATATATTTTTTTGAAAAAAAATACACTTTGATTAAAAAAAAAAAAAAAAAAAAAAATACAATATATACCCCAATTTTTCTAAAATGTGAAAGAGGATGTTACAGCAAGTAAATAGATACCCAACATGTCACGCTTTAAAATTGCGCATGCTCGTGGTATGGCGTGAAACTGCGGTACTTAAAAACCTCCATGGGTATGCTTTAAAAATGTCTGCAGGTTAGTAGTGTAAAGTTACAGAGGAGGTCTAGTGCGAGAATTATTGTTTTTGTTCTGACATTTGTGGTGATACCTCACATGTGTGCGTGGTTTGAACACCATTTACATATGTGGGCATGGCCTATGTATGCGTTCACCACTACCTGCAAGCATGGGGGGGTGGGGGTACTTTAACTTTTTTTTTATTTTTTGCACTGTCCCTTTAAAAAATGTTTTAATCACTTTTATTCTTATCGCAAGAAATGCATGCATCCCTTGTGTTAGAAATAATTAGTGACAGGTCCTCTTTATGGACAATAAGACCCCCACATCTCTCCTTTGCAATGTAAAGCATTGGATCAAATAAAAGCATTGATCTAGTGCTTTTCAAAAAACAAATGGCCAAAACTGCAAGTGACACCACTCTGGTCCTCCAAGGGCATAGAGATGAGTGGAGGCCATCTTTCCTTCACTAATCTCTATGCCCAGCGCCGGATCATTTGATGGTTTCTCAGGTGAGGCTATGAACTACCGAGCAGCGGCCGGTGGAGGCTGCGCCGAGGGGCGGGTTTTGTTCGGCACCTGTATCGGTGCTTTTTTTCATATCCGACGAAGGCCGAAACGTTTAGGCCACCAAAAGTTCGGTGTATCCCTACTTTTCATACACGTACATGGTACAGCAGGCACATATCAGGAATAGGAAATGTTGGGTTTACATATTCTTTACATTTACTCAGTGTGCGCCTAATGTAAAAGTGCCCTATGAGGCAATTGCATTGCACAACTCTTGTCAATCTAAAATGTTTTCAGGCACTGGGGGCTTAGAGGTGCCTAGGCAGGTCATGCACACTGGACATTTGGCCTTCTCTCCTTGATGCCTTTCCTCCTGGCAGCAGCATTTTGACAAAAAAAAAATGTTGACACATTTAGGCACGACAAGTGTTTGTGCGTTAATTTATCTCATTGGCCGTAATAGTAATTTATTCTGCCCACTGAAATGAATGAATGCTAAAGTGCTAAATGAGCTTAGTGTTCACGCTTGTTTAGATGCATCTATCATTTTTTCTGCCAAAATACTGCTGCTCCTGGATGCGCTGGTAGTGTTTTTTTTTTTTTTTTTCTGCCCCTAAACACCTAGGTGTGCATGGACATATAGGGTGGGGCAGCACAGTGGCTAAATGGTTAGCACGTCTGCCTGGCAGTACTAGGGTTGTTGGTTCGAATCCCAACTACGGCACCACCTGCCTGGAGTTTGCATGTTCTCCCTGTGCCTGCGTGGGTTTCCTCCGAGTACTCCGGTTTCCTCCAACACTCCAAAGACATGCTGGTAGGTGAATTGGCTCCTGTCTAAATTGGCCCTAGTATGTGTATGTATGAATGTGAGTTAGGGACCTTAGATTGTACTCCCCTTGAGGGTTAGGGACTGATGTGAATGTACAATATATATGTAAAGCGCTGCGTAAATTGATGGCGCTATATAAGTCCCTGAAATAAATAAATAATAATAAAATGCAGGGATGTTTAGAGGCAGGAAAAAAAAAAAAAAGCCAGATGTTAAAATCATACAGTGTGCATGAGGCCTAAGAATGGAGTGTTAGATGGGGCCTCACTACTTTGTATTCAGAGTATGAAAATCAGGAAGGTGCTGAGTTAGGAAATGGTGGTATCACCATCACTACCATACGGATCTTCAGTTGTATAGCTGCGGCTACCGCTCATCCTCCCCTCTCTGACATTACTTAAAATTTATGGGAACCAAGTCACTAAAACCTCATTTAACCTTTGACATCATATCATTTCAGAAGTCTTTTTTTTTTTCTATTTTTATTTATTTATTTATTTTTTAAATCTGCAGCTTTCATTAAAATAACATCTGGTCATCCTGCCATGAAGTTGGTTGTTCAGTCAGTTCCCGTTAAAGCTGACAATGCTTTTGTCTTTGTCTCCCAAATATGTTGCTGCACTGCCATCCTCGGATTTGCAAAGGAGACTATGAATGGTCATTTCAACACACATGACGCAGGCATGATCTGCTACTGTCACAATCAGAAACCCCGCTCTGTGTGACATGCCATGTAGCCACCACTGGAGTACTTGTAGATAGGAAGAGGACACAGGGTTTATAAGGATAACAACTACTCCCTTACCTGCAACAACACTGGCATTTTTTTTTTTTAAAGTTTTTTCTTCCATGGTTTTTCCCCCCTCCAGTATGCGCCCTATTCCTGATGTTCTACTAATGTTCCAGTTTATGTGACCAGGCACCACTGTTTCTTCCCCATGGCAAAATGGCTGCCAGTCGCATAACCTCCTCTGTGTGGTTTGTTAAAGGGTGCAGTGATGTGCTGATGTCGCCACTCTAACAAGAGCTGTTTGGGATAGACAAGTGATATAACTTGAAGCCACGCTGCCACGGCACCACAACACTGCGATCCCTAACACTAAACTAGATGAGCAACCACACTACTGCAAGACTATCTGCTTGTCCTGTGTGCTCATCTCAGTTATACTATTACTACAATAGTGATCACTAATAGCACAGAGGCCTAATGTGAGAAAGGTGGCGTTGCCTATAGCATCCAATCGGAAAGGAGGTGTTGACTGCATCATCTAATTAGAAAGGAGGTGTTGACTGCATCATCTAATTGGAAAGGAGGTGTTGACTGTAGCATCCAATCAGAAGGAAGATGTTGACTGCAGCATCCACTTGGAAAGAAGGTGTTGACTGTAGCATCCAATCGGAGAGGAGGTGTTGACTATAGCATCCAATCGGAGAGGAGGTGTTGACTGTAGCATCCAATCGGAGAGGAGGTGTTGACTATAGCATCCAATCAGAGAGGAGAGGTGTTGACTGTAGCATCCAATCGGAGAGGAGAGGCGCTGACTAGCATCCAATCAGAGAGGAGAGGCGCTGACTAGCATCCAATCAGAGAGGAGGTGTTGACTGTAGCATCCAATCAGAGAGTAGAGGTGTTGACTGTAACATCCAATCGGAGAGGTGGTTTTGACTGTAGCATCCAATCGGAGAGGTGGTTTTGACTGTAGCATCCAATCGGAGAGGAGGTGTTGACTATAGCATCCAATCAGAGAGGAGATGTGTTGACTGTAGCATCCAATCGGAGAGGAGAGGCGTTGACTAGCATCCAATCAGAGAGGAGGTGTTGACTGTAGCATCCAATCAGAGAGGAGAGGTGTTGACTGTAACATCCAATCGGAGAGGTGGTATTGACTGTAGCATCCAATCGGAGAGGTGGTATTGACTGTAGCATCCAATCGGAGAGGTGTTGACTGTAGCATCTGTCAGAAAGGAGATGTTGCCTGTAGCATCCAATCGGAGAGGAGGTGTTGACTGTAGCATCCAATCTGAGAGGAGGTGTTGACTCTAGCATCCAGTCGGAAAGAAGGTGTTGACTGTAGCATCTGTCAGAAGGGAGATGTTGCCTGTAGCATCCAATCGGAAAGGAGGTGTTGACTGAAGCATCCAATCACAATGGAGGTGTTGACTGAAGCATCCAATCACAATGGAGGTGTTGACTGAAGCATCCAATCAGAATGAAGGTGTTGACTGAGGCATCCAATCAGAATGGAGGTGTTGACTGAAGCATCCAATCAGAATGGAGGTGTTGACTGAGGCATCCAATCGGAATAGAGGTGTTGACTGAGGCATCCAATCGGAATGGAGGTGTTGACTGTGGCATCCATTCGGAATGGAGGTGTTGACTGTGGCATCCATTCGGAAATGTGGTGTTTCCTGTAGCATCCAATCAGAATGGAGGTGTTGACTGAAGCATCCAATCAGAATGGAGGTGTTGACTGAAGCATCCAATCAGAATGGAGGTGTTGACTGAGGCATCCAATCGGAATGGAGGTGTTGACTGTGGCATCCAATTGGAAAGGTGGTGTTGCCATAAAGGTGGTATGGTGTTGCTAGTTGTTGAAAGAAAGCATTGCCTGTAGTGCCTGATTGGAAAGGAGGTGTTGCCTGCAGATCCGATTTACCCAGCATGTGATTTTTATTATAAAGAGTCTGACTGACTGCTATGATCAGACACCTCCTGTGAAAAATCCCATAAAACATAAAAAATGTGCTTTGTGTGTTCTTTTCAGTTTTTGTTGTACAAAAGACATCGTTCTAAGGCAGGCCATTCATAATTCATTTTTTTTGTTCAACCAGCAGATTAAGGTGGATGGGGAAATCCATCCCCTGGAGATTTTGTAGCCTCAGCCTATCATAGAAAATGTATTTGTGTATTTTATCTCTCATCCTTACATTGCCGGGGCTACTTACAGACAGGCCATGGTCTGAAAGATCTTCAATTGATTTATATTACAAAAAAAAAATCAGTCTTCTTGCCATTGTAAGGCAGTTGGCAAAGTGACGCCCCTGACCCAAGGTGATATCTTGCTTGTGCTACCCTGCTGCCCCTTACTTCTCAGCAGCTGGCACCCCCAATGTCAGATGATAGGGGGAGCCGTGACATCAGCCCTTCTGTCGTCTGACTGCTAGTCCCGTAATAGTGGTCCTATGCTCCCCCGAACCTGGACGTACCTGACATTGTTGCTGCCTGCAGTGGAGGAAGGCTTGGCACCAGTTTTCTCGTAAGGTAAGTATCCGTTGGTTTTGGGAGGAGGGGAGTAGGCATGGTTGGGATTTTCAAAGACATGGTCACTTTGTCATGAATGATATGAGTCACACTACCTTCTTAAAGCCCAAATCAAACAACAACTTTTTCACTTTTGGATAGCATAGGGAGGAAATTAAATAATAAAAAAAAAAATGTATTGCGGTTTCCTTATTGGGGCGATCTCCCCTCCCCCTGTGATGTCTTCATGAAGCTATATACAGCACCCTGCTGACCGACCCCTTCCACCAGCGATGCATAGAGAAGTGCAGAAACCCAGTGATGATGTCACTGGTTCTAAAATGTGGTATGTGTGGCAAACAGGCTTTATTAAAAATGTTATTAACATGTTGATGAAGGGGGAAGGAGAAGCCAGGGAAGGCAGAGTAAAACCAGATTAAACTTTAAGGTTACATTTTCCATTTTCACCAGAGTGTAAATGTAATATGCTGATCCCTTATTGATGGTATTGAGTGGTTTTAGGTGAAATTCTCCATCCCTGAAGCATACTGTTTGGTTTATTCAGACACTTTGTCATGTTTACAGTAATCCTTCTCTTATTTTTACTTTTTTTTTTTTTTTCATCATCAGAGCTGCTCGGTATCCACAGTCAGGCACATGTTGGTTTTCTCACACTGATGGAGTCTCTCCGATACTGCAAGGTAAGGGCCCTCCTACATCACAATGGACCCTACAAACAAACTGATGTTAAAGATTCCTATAGATGATGAAATTACTAACCTGATGACACAAATATTCATGTAATGGCCTCTATTGGGTGCAGCAATGGTAAAGCTGGCCATACATGGATTGAAATTCAGCCTATTCAGCAACGACTGGATAAATTTCGATCTGCTTGACAAGTCAACGTAATGCTCGACTTCGGTTGAATGGGATTGTTGGAAAGTTTTTCCTGATTGGCTGCAGCCGTCCGCTGATCAGTGTATTCTGACAGTAGGGGAGTCCCGCTGTCAGAATATAATGGCACATCTGATAAAAAAAAAAGTGAGGCATCTATGGCCAGCCTTAGAAATGCAGTAATGCGTTGGTCACTGGTAATAGGCTCTTGTTTTCAGCACTAGTTTAAATTGTCACAGGAAATTTTGGCGCGCGGAGACAATTTCAGCAGGCTAGGTAACCAGTTTCCCCCCCCATAACTTTTTGAACTTTTTGAGTATTTAGAGATTGTAGTCACACCCTCTCTTCCCATTCCAGTTTGCTTAGTGTCTTGTCTTAATTTGTAATTAAGTCATCAGCTACAAATACTGTAGCTGCTGACTTTACTAAAGAGAAACCCACCTGCCCAGAGGTCCACTGCTGTCCTCACCTGTCCGGTTTCTTCACCTGTCTTCGGGTCCCCGGCACCACCATGTTAACTGTGGGTAGCCGGCTGTGAGTTCTTGCGACTTCACAGCCAGTGCTCACTATGCATGCATGAGTGGCACTCTGCTCTGTGAATGGTTTCGCAGCCTCCTGGTACCTGTGACATGTCCCAGAAGGTTGCTGGTGACGGGTCTGGGGGGTGGAGAACTTTTACCCGGATCACCTAGTAGGAGCAGGTACCTGTCAAAACTAGGTATCCAGTAAGTAACTATCAAGTAATAAAAGAGTGCTATAACCTGATAACTGGGCAGCACAGTGGCTAAATGGTTAGCACTTTCGCCTGGCAGTACAAGGGTCGTTGGTTCAAAACCCAGCCACGGCACCTCCTGCCTGGAGTTTGCATGTTCCCCCTGTGCCTGCGTGGGTTTCCTCCGGGTACTCCGGTTTCCTCTCACACTCCAAAGACATGATGGTAGGTTAATTGGATCCTGTCTAAATTGGTCCTTGTATGTGTATGTATAAATGTGAGATAGTGAGTGTACCTTAGGGTTCAGGACTGATGTATGTACAATGTACAGCACTGTGTAAATTGATGGCATTATATAAGTACCTGAAATAAATAAATAACTAATGAGGTTAGTACGTCTGGTAGGTTCACTTTACATTTGCAGCTCCTGTGCAAAACCGTTCCAGCATCTGATGGTTTTGCATAACTTGTCCCTTGTCTAACATGCTGGCGTCTGAACATCATGCTATTGCTTAGCACAGCTCAGGAATGTTGTCTTGGTCCTTCTTCAGGAGTCATCCAGTGCAAAGGCTATATGTTGGCTTGCAGGTAAAATAAAAGAAAGCTCATTTTAACTGTGAAAACTGTTGTGATTACATCATTTCATGGCAATATAATGCTGGACCAGAGTGCAATCCACAGAGATCAGGTCCACTTGTTAGACTTTTTTGGATTATAGCAGCACATTGTGTTCTCAGGTGGCAAATTCCTGCCTTGGACTTCATTGCACGCAGCTCAATTCTCAGATGTTCTTTAGTGCGGATATTATATTCCATAGACAAAGGCTATGCTGTTCTGTGCTGCACCAGCGTAGGTGTTAATAAGTTTCCTTGTAATGCTATCGGACTTATGTTAGTGTTGTGGTTAAGCCATTTTGCTGCACTTCCTTTCTGCTTCTAAATCCGAATATATGAATCCTTAACTCCAGTTGGAATAAAGACTAAACTCCAGAATGCACAAATAGGATTACACAATTAGTCTGACCTATGTAAAGCACCTTGGTTCTGTACTAGTGCTCTGTAGGGGAATCCCTGTGGAGACTTCATCACGCAGTAAAAATGAATAGCAAATATTCTGTCAGGACCTGCTGCCGTGTACACTTAAAGGTGTAATCCACCTGTACATATTTTTTGTTTAAAGTGTTACTAAACCCAGGACCCTGCATTCACTATATCTGGTCTCCCCGGACCCTGCATTCACTATATCTGGCCTCCCCGGACCCCGCATTCACTATATCTGGCCTCCCCGGACCCCGCATTCACTATATCTGGTCTCCCCGGACCCTGCATTCACTATATCTGGTCTCCCCGGACCCTGCATTCACTATATCTGGTCTCCCCGGACCCCGCATTCACTATATCTGGTCTCCCCGGACCCCGCATTCACTATATCTGGTCTCCCAGGACCCCGCATTCACTATATCTGGTCTCCCCGGACCCCGCATTCACTATATCTGGTCTCCCCGGACCCCGCATTCCTATATCTGGTCTCCCAGGACCCTGCATTCACTATATCTGGTCTCCCAGGACCCTGCATTCACTATATCTGGTCTCCCAGGACCCCGCATTTACTATATCTGGTCTCCCAGGACCCTGCATTTACTATATCTGGTCTCCCCGGACCCTGCATTCACTATATCTGGTCTTCCAGGACCCTGCATTCACTATATCTGGTCTCCCACAGTACACAGAACATGGAAATGCAATTATTTAAGTAAATATAAACTGCTAAATACCTTTTCTCATCAGCATTTAGAGCAATCTTGTGACTTCTATCATTGTCCAGCCGAGAACTGGTTAAAGCTTGTAGGAGGAATTTTCATTTTGCTCCTGAAGGATGCAGAACCTCTGACCTCTGTCTGCTGATTGGCCCTGTGCTGATCACATGCACCCTCCCAAGAAAAAAAAAAACCTCTCTAGCAAAGCACACCAAACTGAGCATGTGCATTGTAACTCCACACGATATGTCTTATCAGAATATAAGAGGGTGCCACTGGAAGAAGGGGAGGATCGGAGCAGACCGGAATAAACAACGTTTTTACACAGTGCAGATGATTAACCCCTTAGGTTCCACAGTGAATATAACAAGTATGCTTTTCTGCATATACAGACTGATTTTACTGTTGTGGGTTTAGTAACACTTTAAATTCAGAGCCATTAGATAAAACCTGTCCATTACTTTACATTTCAAACACATAGTAGAGAATTACCAAACAGCGGTCCAAACATAATGTTTGCACCACTACTGAACGTCGTGGAGCAGATGGTGCTCATAATTAAATGGTGCACAGCCTCTTTGTTAATTAGGACTGATCTGCTGTCTGTTCTATGCTATGTCTGTAACAGACACGGCACTGAACAGTACAACTGGAGCTGCATGCTCCGATCCCTCTTTCCTTCTGTCCCCCCCCCCCCCCTTCTCAGCTCAAGGCAAGAGGGAGGCTGTGCAGGCTCAGAGTGATGTGAGCTGTCTCCTGACCAGATCTGACCCGGTAGAGATTCGTTCCAGTTTTTGCTATACTGAAAACTGCCTCAATCTCTTTAATTAAAGTGGTTCTAAAGGTTCATTTTTTTTTTTTTAAATAATAAACATGTCTATATTTACCTGCTGTTTGCAGTGGTTTTGCACAGAGCAGCCCGGATCCTCCTCTTCTCGGGTTCCCCACAGGCTCTCCTGGCCCCTTCTTTCTGTCACGTGCCCCCACAGCAAGCAGCTTCCTATGGGGGCACCTGCTGCTCCATGTGTCCATTGACACACGGCACTGCAGCTTGGCCTCTCCCCCCTCTGTCTCCTCATTGGCTGACTGGCTGTGATTGACAGCAGTGGGAGCCAATGGCTCCTGCTTGCTTTCTCAGCCAAGGAGGAGACAGAGACCCGTGACAGCCAAAGCTGTCATTCACATCGCTGGATCGCAGTGCGGCTCAGGTAAGTGCATAGAATGCATGAAGGTAAAAAATCTTCAGCCTTTACAACCACTTTAATCGTATGTTTTTCTCTGAAATAGAAACTAGCGTGGGTGGTGCAGAAAGACCTAAAATAGTTCTGTTTAGTTAATGCAGTGCAAGTCACTCCAGAGAGTTTCCTCCACCAGAAGCAAACTAATTCCCTGGATAGACTGAAAAAAGAAGCCCCCTTTAGGTGCCTACATATACCTTCCCTTGCTTCTCTTCTCTCCTCCCAAAAAAAAAGGAAAGCATAAAATAAGGAGTTCAGGTCAGCTTTGAGGTTTATTTACTTTTATAGTGAAAATCTCCTGTAAATGAGTCATAACCACAAGCTAAGTACATCCTCCGTTTAATTGCCCACCCACCCATTCTTATTTTTTTTTATTGTGACAGATTGCTGTATGTAAAGTACAGTAATCTGTCAGACTGTATACATTCTCTTGAATCTGTACAAAGGACATTCTGGGGCCATTGCAGACACATCCTATTAGAAAACCTGCGCTCTGACTATTGGCTGCCCTGGGAACATACAATTTGGGTAGAAATACAGTCACACATGCACATTGATTGATTATTTTGAGTGCACTATCCAAAACGTGTAGGCTTTATTCACACTGTTGTATGTGAATGGCTAAAATCATTTTCCTTTCACATTAAACTGCATCGCATACAGTGAAGGAAGTATTTGATCCTGTGCTGATTTTGAATGTTTGCCCACTCACAAAGAAATGATCAGTCTAAAAATTGAATGGTAGGTGTATTGTAACACTGAGAGACAGAATTGACTGCGCTATATAAGTACCTGTAATAAATAAATAATAATTGTGTACACAGCTATATCTTTGGCAGTGTTGATCCTTTGTAATATACCTAACGGTACCAATGGCCAATTGGTTGAAGTGTGACTGTTGTTCTATTGCTAGACCATGAATGTTACATTGTACTGTATTTATGTCAATACAGGGTCATGACTGCTTGGCTTAGAAAGGTGGTTTGAATGATCCTGGCTGTCATTCAGCCTGGAAGACTGAGGCCATCTAGTGGCAGAATGGAATTACTGCAGGGGATAACATTGCTTTTATGTTACTATTACCATTTGATGATATTATTTTTTTTTTGTAGCTAAATTCAGCCTTTAATATATGAGTCACATTTTTATTTGCTCATGATAAGTTAAAAATTAAGCAATGGAATAATTTTATAAGTCTTCCTTCCAGGTTATGTAACCTTTGATGTGTAAGGAATATGTGTGTACATACTACTTCATGCAGAAACAGATGTCTGTCAATATTTTCCATGTACATCTATAAAAGGAGAGGAAATTTCTTGTTTTAAATCATATATATATATATATATATATATATATATATATATATATATATATATATATATATATATATATATATATATATATATATATATAGATATATATATATATATATATTTCAGGACCTTCCAGGAACTTCCAAACCGTTTAATCTGTTCCCTAACGAAAACCACTCCAGATATTTTTACTCGTTGTTTATGCTTTTATCTCTCAGATGGTGTTTTGAAGTTTAAAGTGTAATAAAAATACTTATCTGATGTTGTTCCTTGAATGGGAAAATGTGAGTGTAAAAAAAAAAAAAGCACTGCTGTTGTTAATTTAGATGGAAAAGGTAGAAATCCAAGAGAACCTGTTGGTACCTCTTGAGAGTAGCATGTGGAAGAGTCTTAATCCCGCTGTTAAAATACTGCAGGTTTACTTTTCTGGGATAGGTAGGTTATGTTTTTGACTTGTATTCTCTCCCTGTTAAAGCAGAATGCCATCCCACTGTCGAATTTAAAGTGGTTTTAAACCACAGTCATGAAATATAAACAAAGCATATCCCTCAACAGTGTGTACTTGTCTCAGTTAAGAGCACTAAATGTCATTTCTGTCCAATGCTTCATTTCTCTGCTATCAGCATGAATCGTTCTGACAAGTTTTCCTGACACCAAGAGAAAAAAGGTAACGGGAAAGCTCCAGCAGATTGACAGTCTCAGTTCTGTTACTGTGAGCTGTGTGGAGGGGGTGTGTCTCTGCCCTCCAATCAGCTCTCAGAGCTTTCTTCACTGAACTCTTCAGTGTGTAATTTCAGCTCTCCATCCCCCTACTGAACTATCAGACAAGCTTTATAGATTCCACACTTTGAATGGATGTAGAGAAGAGAAGCTACAGATAGACAGGTACAACTTTTGTAGGAGGATTTGTTTATCGCCTGATGCAAGTCACTTTACTGGGTACATGTAAGGGTTTACAACCACTTTAAGGCCGACACGCAAGGATATTTTTTTCTGTTGGTGGCAGCAGTGTGGCTTTAAAGTGTATGTAAACCCTAGCAGCGACTTTCTTTTTTTTTTTTTTTCTTTCTTTTTTTGTTTGCTCTGTTAAATGACCATTGAAAGTATATTGAGATATCTTTTTTGATATGTGTAAAATAATGCCAGTTGATCCTGCCAGAAATCTTGTGAGCTGATAACGTCCTCTCCTCTTCTGACCTCTGTCAGCCGGCATTGATCTCAGCCCTCTCTGTAGGCTCCAGATCCCTCCTCCCCTTGTTATGGCGTCGTAGAGAGGGGTTCCTAGGGTGACAATGAAGCTCCTCCGTAGGTTCAGTGTGCAATGGTTGTGATCCTGACTTGGGGATTTGTTGCTGGTAGGATCACACGGTGAAAATAAAGGGGGAGACTGCGGAGAAAAAAAAAAGAATGCAGCCACCATATCTACTGCCTGCTGTATTTAGATATGATGTGTTGTTCTGTTTTACTGGATAGTCATATGCTTTCCCTTGTTGCCTCGAATACCTTTTTAAATGGTCTTTCATTTCCCAGGTAGGCGGTTTCCTGAAGTCTCCAAAGTACCCGATCTGGGTGATTGGTAGCGAAACGCATCTTACAGTGTTCTTCACCAAGGTGAGATATTTTATATCTGTCATTGGGAATATCTGTTTTCATGAACTTGTATAAATGTTTAATGTGACATACCAACATTTAATCATACTACTCAACCATAGCTCCCTACTGTCTGCCATTTGGAGCCAAATCCCTCTGTCCCTCGTTCCTCCCCACTTGTTCCTCCTTTTGGTTTGTTGTTTAGACCTCCATCAATATGTACTGTTTAATGAATGTGTTATACTACAATATACCTTTCCTCCAAATATTGCATTTGTCATTTTGATATTCCAGTGTAATGATTGTAAATGAAGAGGAAAAAAGCAATTGTGAATTTAACCAATCATTTGTTTCATGTTAAAGCAGAACAAAATCATTTAGGAATGTAGGTCCCTCCCAGAAGCTTTGCATACTATGATATATGGCACTGCCCAAGGTCATAAGGGGGCCCCATGAGATGCCCCTGGTACCTTTCAAAGGCTTTTTTGGGTGTGGTTTGAGTGTGGGCAAGGACACAGGGGCCCCATGATCCCCTATTGCCAGGGTTTAATGTCTGTATGTATGTGCATGTTTACATATACAGGCGTACCTCGGTTTACGAACGCCTCGGTTAACGTAATTTTCGGTTTACGAATAAAAATCCATTAAAAAAAAATGGCTCGGTTTACAAATTTGTTTTGCAGTACGAACGGATTAATTGGTTTTCAATGCCTTTACATTTTTTTTTTTTTAATCATGTTCCTGTACAGTACTATGCCTTTAAAGTGCACTTTATAAAGCGTTTTGAACAGATAAGACTTTTTTTTTACTTTTTTCTGACCTCCGGAACGGATTAATTGCATTAATTTAATTAATTTACAAATTCATTTTTAATCAGGTCCCTGTACAGTATTTAAAAGATAAAATATTCCTGCGCCAATCAAGATTAGATAAATAAATAAATCACTCTTCTAAATTGCTTCTGTGCAAAAATTGTGAATACACAAACAAGTGAAATGTGAAAAATAAACAGCGCAAAATAGATATTATTAAATAACAAAATATCAAAACCCCATATCACTTAGTACATATTTGTGTCAAAAAACTCATTAAAAGTCCCTTGTAGTGCAAAATAAAGACCTCCAAATGAAATTCTTAGCCTTCCACCTTTCACCCGTGCACACCAACATCGAATGCACTCACCAGATTTAGGTGAATGTAGAGCCTTTGGGATTTTAATAGGGGATTCCACGCCCTCTTTCCATCCACTCAAAATTAGCCTCCCAAAGATAAGATCCTCTTTCAGGTCCTCACCGTGATCTCCTCGCTTCCTCCACCGTGTTCTCAGAGAAAAAAAACTTACATAGTGTAATATTGCCCAGATCATTCTGATCCTATATTGAACAAACTCCAGGCCACTCACATTTCAATGAACAATAAAAGCACATTTATTGGGCCCAAGACAGCCAAATGATCACAGCCAGCAAATCCTCCAGGGTTCCCACATCAATGCAGCCAGATGAGGCAGAGACTTAACCAATATCCAGCCTCAATCCCACAAAATGGCCGCTGGAACGCACCGCTCGGCGTGCGCTCCACTCACCGGAAGTGACGTCAGACGTACAGCAAATGGACCGGAAATGCGTCAACGCGTTTCGCCCCTCCCATGGGGCGTTCTCAAGACCCTGTACAGTATTTTGTCTTTTAAAGTGCACTTTATAAAGCGTTTTGAACAGATAAGAGACTTTTTTTTTTTTTTGTTTACTTTTTTCTGACCTCCTGAACAGATTAATTGGTTTTCAATGCATTCCTATGGGAAACCACGTTTCAGTTTACAAATTTTTCTCAATACGAAAAGTCCCACAGAACGTATTAAATCGAGGTATCCTGCACCTGTTTTAGCATATACTGGCGTACAGCAGTGTAAAGCCATTGATTTCTATGGGTGGCGTTTGTGCGCATTTCACTGTCTGGGAGCCACAAGTGATGCTAAATTTTAACATTACACAGCTCTGGGTGGCAATGAGCATGAAGCCTAATCCTTTATGGTAACTGTGAGCATGGCAGGTGTGTGTCTTTTGCCTGCATACTTTTTGCTACAAGGTATTATCCCTCTTTTATTTTCTGATCTCAAAAAGTTAGATGTATGCTAAACAATATGTGAGCATTCAAGTATTACTGTGAGTGTATATTTATACATATATGCACACACATTACTTTCTTTGCACTTCGTATTCTTTATTCTTACTTGTGCATGCATCCTGACCAAAAAGTCAAGTCAAGAGGTACCTGGTTTTGTTTTGGTTTTTTTGTTGTTGTTTTTTTTTTTTTCTTTTTTAATTTGAACGTAAATAGGAATTTCAGCCAGGGGACAGTTTACTAGAGGGAGCTTGCTTATTCCTGTGCAAGCATTTACTTTCCAAAAGGATAAGTGCACGTTAAAGGAGAAGTATAGCCAAAGCTCCTTTGGCTCTACTTCTCCTGGGGATCACAAGAGTGCACTTTGTTCTGCAATCCTGTGACCTGTTTTCAGCCGACAGCAGGCTAAAGCCCTCTCTCAGCTGACATCACAGAGCTGATCCAGGCTTTGAAAAGATCCTGACCATATGGCTGGGATCCATCCAGAAGCCTGGATCAACACCTAGCTCAGCTTCTCAGTGGTCTGCTGAGATCTTGCCAGAGCCAGCCCCTCCTGCCCCCTCCACAGCCTAGCACTCCAGGGAGCGCTGGAAGGGCAGGTCAGAGAGCCAGAGACTGACAGTCCCCAGCTCTCTGCTCGCTGAACATTGAGAACTGAGTGATCTACTTCTCTTTCAAAACACACAGAATAACCTTCAAACAGAACAGATACACTATATTGCCAAAAGTATTAGGACGCTCCTCCAAATCATTGGATTCAGGTGTTCCAATCACCTCCATGGCCACAGGTGTATAAAATCAAGCACCTAGGCATGCAGACTGCTTCTACAAACATTTGTGAAAGAATGGGTCACTCTCAGGAGCTCAGTGTATTCAAGCGTGGTGCCGTGATAGGTTGTCACCTGTGCAATAAGTCCATCAGTTACATGTCCTTGCCTCTAAATATTCCACGGTCAACTGTTAGTGGTATTATAACAAAGTGGAAGCAACTGGGAACAACAACAACTCAGCCACCAAGTGGTAGGCCACGTAAAATGACAGAGCGGGATCAGCGCATGCTGAAGTGCACAGTGCTCAGTAGTCGTCAACTGTCTGCAGAGTCAATAGCTAAAGACCTCCGAAACTTTGTGTAGCCTTCAGTTTAGCACAACAACAGTGTGTAGAGAGCTTCATGGAATGGGTTTCCATGACCGAGCAGCTGCATCTAAGCCTTACATCACCCAAGTGCAATGCAAAGCGTTGGATGCAGTGGTGTAAAGCACGCTGCCACTGGACTCTAGAGCGGTGGAGACGTGTTCTTTGGAGTGCTGAATCATGCTTTTCTGTCTGGCAATTCGATGGACGTGTTTGGCAGTTGCCAGGAGAATGGTGCTTGCCTGACTGCATTGTGCCAAGTGTAAAGTTTGGTGGAAGGGGGATTATGGTGTAGGGTTGTTTTTCAGGGATTGGGTTTGGCTTGTTAGTTCCAGTGAAGGGGACTCTTAAGGCGTCGGCATACCAAGACATTTTGGACAATTGCATGCTCCACCCTCCTGTCCCAACATGACTGCGCACCAGTGCACAAAGAAGGGACTTGACTGGCCTGCACAGAGTCCTGACCTCAACCTGATAGAACACCTTTGGGATGAATTCGAGTGGAGACTGTGAGCCAGGTCTTCTCATCCGATATCAGTGCCTGACCTCACAAATGCACTTCTGGAAGAATGGTCAAACATTCCCATAGACACCCTCCTAAACCTTGTGGATGGCCTTCCCAGGAGAGCTGAAGCTGTTATAGCTGCAAAGGGCGGGGTCAACTCAATATTGAACCCTACGAACTAAGACTGGGACGCCATTAAAGTTCATGTGCATGTAGAGGCAGGGGTCCCAATACTTTTCGCAATCTAGTGTATAATTACAAATGTGTCTCAAGGAAATGCTAAATTCTTAACTGACATTAGAGGACTCATTTACACCACAATCCCCATGTTCAGTGTTAATTTCTGCTTGTGCATTTACATGCATTTGTAATGTGTCTGAAGAGTGTGCAATGCATTTACATTTATGTACAAACAAATGCAGCATGCTTGCTTTTTTTTTTTTGAATGCACCTGAAAGCACTGTGTGATAGTGTAAACTAGGCTCATTGAAATACATTCCTTGCATTTGTGCTGCGTTTTTAAAACACCTTCGACTGCAACTGATTTAAATCAGCCACACACCTCTGGGTTGTACAATCCCAAATTCTGCTATCCATATAACCTTTTTGTACTTAAACTACAATTCTCTGTTACTACCTCGATGAAGTTTGGGTATTTGATCATGAATCTGAGATGTGAAATGGAATGTTTGTGTTGAGCAAAAATGTTTGACATCAGGGAGTTGAGGTTGACAGGAATAGAGGATTTATATTGTGATAATCTGTCTTTCCTCTTTTGTGTTCTTTCTCTGATGTAATACCAACCACAGGGCTATACATACATATGGGAGTGAAAGGTAAAACTCCCGAACTGCATGTACTCAATTAGGACTGCACTGATGGCCAGTACCCCCTGCATGTTGTATAATACATTGTGTGTGTCTGGATGTGTATATAAAGCATATATGCACCCACACACACAGCCACGTGTACATTTACACACATGCACATAACGTGTGAAAACATATTTGTATCGTAAAGCACTCCTATCAGCTTAAAAAAAAAAAAACAAATCCATATAAATTTGTCTGCAAGAGAAGCGGTAGTATACTCCCATGTGAGGTGTCTCATGTCCCCTACCTTCTGTCCATTCCAGTGCTGCAATCTTCATCATTGTCTTTGGCATTCAACACATCTGGGAGCGTGAGATACCTGTGCCCCCCCCCCACCCCCACTCCAATGCCACGTGCCCTGATTCCATCTTCTGACCTCTACAAGACTATGAGATCGGCAGTGACTTTCAGATTAGAGGATAGAAACAGGGCTTCGTGTGTTCCCAGAATTCGTCCCTGGGTGAATACTACCCTAAATGTTTGGTACCGCTGGGTGCCCCCTCCAGATGCTGCCTGTCAAAATTTATGAGAGTCAGGCAGCTGGCAGTGGGGCTGGACAGAGCACCTGTGTCCTTCGCCTACAGCTAAATTCCAGAACCCCATGCATCAGGGCTAAACACCCTAAAGTGAACAGGAATTCAAATAACTTGCATTGGGTGGAATTAAAGTGATTGTAAAGGATCAAATATTATTTTTTTAAATAACAAACATGTTTTATGTACCTGCTCTGTGCAATGGTATTGCACAGAGCAGCCTGGATCCTCTTATTCTGAAGTCCCCCACCAGTGCTCTTGGCTCCTCCTCCCTGCTAAGTGCCCCCATAGCAAGCCACTTGATATAATGCTTTAAGGTAAAAAACCTTCAGCCTATAGAACCACTTTAACCCATCTATGACCCTATTCTGGTGATATGGCCCCCTTAAAATGGTCTGTGCCTAATTCAGGAAAGCCTTGTGACCTTTTCATTCTGAGCTCCAATACATGTACCAGATTTAGGCAGTTCTAGTTTTTGCCACAGTTGCTATGGCAGGCAACATACTCTTAAAGATTTACCACCATTTTGGGAAACTGGTGGTAATTGACCTCCCTGACGGTATTCCCGAGTGTAGCTCGGGGAAAAGTTTCAGTACCAAAAGCGGTAACTCCGAGCTACACTCAGGCTTACCATGCGGCGCTGCTCCGGGATTTGTTCTTCTTACCTTGTCCTGCGCTCCCGCGATGTCCTTCCTGCAGTGTCCCCGGCAATGTCCTCCCGCGGATGCCGGCATCTGTCATCTGGGTTCCGTCCCCTGCGAGCGTCGGGACATACAGGGGACGGAACGGCGGGAAATTTGAAAATGACAAAAAGTGACATTCACTAAATACACTAAAATCACATAGTAAAACATTACTGTATCAAACCATTTCACATACATTTTGTCCTGTGCCCTGCCTGCATTTTTACTGTTCTTTCTGCCTGGAAACTGAGAAACGTCCATGGCGTCCAAAAAGCGTCCCTTTAGGTCAAAATCGGTTTTAGACTAGCCAGAGAACAGCGATAGTAAGTTAGAACCACTTGCAGAACTGAGTGATAATGATTTGTGGGGAAATTCATCATCAGACACTGAAAACAATTTTGCGACTTTGCTCAGTGATGTGTGAACTTGGCGCTCTATTTCAAATTTCAGTGTTTTTGGTTTGATTATATTATTGAATTAAATTTATTATTATTATATTATTTTTTATGATTATTTATTAAATTATAATTTATGATTTCGTGTTTCAAATTTTTTCATACCTGGAATGTTTGCTAGACTCTTGTTTGGACAGATTTCAGTAAGTTATTCCTAAAAATTACAGGCCTACAATAAAAAAAATACATATTTCCATGCAAAAAAATGTACCACTTTGAGCACAGAAATATGGACATAATCAGACCGCTAGGGAGGTTAAGACATATATTTGAAATTTTGGCCATATTCAATATATTCAAAATATATTTCAATAAAAAAAAAATATAGAGAGAGAGTTTTTTTTATTTTTAAATATATTCAGATTTTTTTTAACATATAAAAAAAAGTCATTTTAGCATATATTTTACATATATTTTGTAAATGCATTCGAAAAAAATGTTTTCATATATTTTGTAATCACGCATTTCAACATACAGTGTCTGTATATATAATTTTTTTTTTTTTTTTTAAATATGTTGAATATGGCCAAAATTGTAGCATTTCAACTATATGTCACTATATTTGGGAAGAATATTTTTAAAAATATATTTCAAATATATTTTTCTTCCATATGGGTAGTATTCAGAATGTCTCATTTTGTTTTGAGAAGCTGTCATAAATATGACTGCTTCCTTTACAGGGCTCTTGGTTACTACTCCACCAGTAGCCGCTAGCTTCATAGCAACCAATGACTTATCTCCATCTCCATCCCCATCCATCTGTCAGTCATTAGATTCCCCGGTCCACAACTGAATGTAAACAAAGGGGCGAGGATGCTAGCTTGACACCACAATACGACTAAGCAATTTCTGTATTTGAGTAGTGATATGAATCTTCTGGCTGGCCACTGAATGGAGCTGCAGATTCATCATTGGTTACTATGACACTGTCAGCTGCACAGCCAAGAGCATATAGGCAACCAATTACTCTGTGCTCCCAGAGCTGAATGTGCACTGAGGATAGGAATGTCCACGGTATAAACCTCTGTGCAGCACCCTACCATGCCTCTGATAAATTCATGTACCTATCCTCATCTGGTATAGGGATTTTTCATGGGCATTGGCATTTATTGCGTGAAGATGCAACAGAATACTAAAGAGTGTTCTAGACTCTTTATGAATTCCCCAGCCTGTGTTCCATGTACATAGCATCTGAATAATAGAACTGGTTTCAAAAGGCAAAATACACGGCACAGAAATGTCTGCATAATGAATACACACTGCATACGGCTTCTATTACAGTAAAAGGTTGTAATTACCCAGCAATACCTACACTATTCATTGTATCATTTTTACTGCCCCATCTACAATTATGCGGCATATTGCACATCTGTATAATAATCTCAACGCTTGCTTGACATTGAGTGTATCTGTCAAGTCTACGCTTCCATGCGTAATTATCGCATACCTCCAGGAGGGATCTTGTGTAATATAATGGATACCTATGCGGGGTCCACTTTCGGAATACTTGGATCTCAAGTCTTGTGGTTAAACTCTCAGTGTTATATTACTGACTCTGTGATTTGCAGTAATCTCCGACATTTGATTGACTAAGGGACTGGTTGCCTGCATCATATCAGATAATCTGCCACCTAAACCCTACAGCGAGGGGTCTTTCCTCTTCCTGCTCTTTTGTAAGATCTTGAACTGATAGCCCACAAGACCCTTCACCTCCTAACCCTGGCATGAGTGTGCCTTGGCTGACCCATGTCATCTGTCTTGTGTGTTTTGCTTGGGCTGTGGGAACTATAATTAGACACAATACAGATGTGACCTCACAGTGTTCTGCACAAGATAAATGGATAGTGAAGCTCTCCTTGTGATGCTCTGATCCTGGAGTCTGGGGGAGGATCTCCTGGCATATTAAGCACACTTCTGACTTGCTAAAAACAGCTGGCCCACACTACGGCCCAAATCCTGGTGTGTTACTTTAACCTTTTTACAAGTTATGTTTATAGGAGATTCCTTTCAAGGTTTTTTTTCTCGTCCATTTACAGCAGAAACTGTTTATTGTTGGAATTGGGGTGCAAAGAATGCAGTTTTGCTATACTGTGTTTGC